TCATGTGTATGAAGAATGGAGAGCTGGGTAGAAGTGGAGCAGCCAGTCCTCTAACCAGAACTCAGATATGGGATGTGGGCACCACCAGCAGCAGTTTAACCCAGTGCACTGCAGTACCCACCCCCCCTTTGTGAATGGTTTAACAGCGTTGCTCTGACCACTTTGGTGAGAATTACCTGTATGGGGTGGGGGTGTCAGCATGGCCAGCAGGGGTTGCTAGAGTGAGCTGAACAGGGTGACCCAGGCATGAATGGTAGGAGAGGGGCGAGAGGTGGCCAGATTCTGACACAGGACTGTGAACTGATACCATTTTCTACAGAAGTCATTTCGCTGGAAGGTGGTGACACTAGGAAATGTGTACAGGGTATATTGACTTTAAATTCCATCACTTTTTTTTTTCTTTTTTTTTTTTAAGCACTGCATCTCTCCCACGCAGATCTCTGCCTGCCTCACCCAGCCCACAGGTGACAAACTGAGTCAGCCAATCTGAGAGCACTCAGGGCGATTTTGTTTCCAGCGCTCAGTACATGCTAATCCTCCACATTGAAACAGTCTGTTGAAGTTCTTACGAGCCACTCGTTTTCCTGGGTGTTTATGGTCGCAGCAGAGAGCATCGCCGCACCATGACCATTTCTCCTTCCTGTGGGTTCTATTCTGGTAACTGCTATCCAAGTTTAACACTTTTTCAGTGGAGTCCCCTTTTCATTAGACTCCTGCAGCTTGTGGGTTTGTATATGATTTCTGCTGGCTGGCTTGCTTTCTTTCCTACTTTTCCTTTTCTTTCTTTACTGATTTTCATAGCAGCAGCCAGATCAGATGGTAAAGAATTCTCCCTGGGAAAACAGCACTCAATGGTTCTTGGAAGGAGGAAGTGCTGTTTTCAGGGCTTCGCTTTGGTAGGAGGCCCAGCTGCCTTTATTTTCCTGAGCTTCATATTTGGGGGCTCAGCCGTGGCTGAAATGTGATCAGGAGCAATGGCCTTGGTGCTGGCCAAGATTCCTGTGGCTTTGGGCCCCTCACAGACCAAAGGTTTGTCTTTGTTCTGACCCAAGAGCATCAAAACATTGCAGCCACCAACCCACGTCATTGTCAGGCTCCGTGGTCTGGGCAGCTGGCTCAAGGTTAGAGAAGGCTTTCAACTTTAATGTGTCTTCTTTATAGTGCAAGACATAATCATGTGTGGAAACAGAGCTGTACTTGCTTCCTCGAGACCCCAGATACACACCCCAGAAAAGTGCTCTGCAGTAGACTAGGTAGCCCTCAGATCTCCACCTGCAAGCACTCTGACTGCGGCATGGGAAGCGGAGGTTGCATTGAAAGAGGAGCAGTCATGGTATGTTGTACAAGCTTAAGTGCCTTTCTCAGACAGCAGAGGTTTGGCATTCTCAAGACCTCCCACCTGCACCCTCGCACAGCTCTGTGTTCCCCAGGGAGGGGACCTCCCCACCCAGAGAGATGGAGGGAGGGAGCTAGTAGATGTAGTGGATGGCATCTCCCCTCTCAGCTGGGGGTGCCCAAGACAGACAGACACAGCTGGCTGTCTGCTGCCCACCTGCCTGCACTTTTCTCACTTATGTGTGCTGACAGTGCTTTCTCCCTCCCCCTGGTGAGCCAGTAGGAAAGCAGGTGCCCAGGGGACAACTCCAAGGCTCTGGAAAGCTTCTGTTTGCTTCTGGGCCTTGTCCTCACGTCTGGGACACAGGACCCCTGCACCTTGGTTCTGAGATATGTCCCCAGGTCCAAGCCTGGTCCTTTCCTGAATGAGACTGGAGATGGGGACTGGAGGAGGGGTTGAGCAGGGGAGTGGGGGCCAGGCCCTGTGCAGTCAGAGCCGAGAATCAAGACTTTGCCCATGCCAAGAGCTCTGACTCAGCTCGGCTGTTGTCGGCTCATCTTCCGAGGATCCAGGACTCCCTGAAGACATTCAGTGTGCCAGTCTTGGCAGTTTCACACCTGAGGTGCAGACACGAGGATGAGGGGTGGCTGGCTTCCCCTGAGCTCACAGAAGGGCTCCAGGGAGGAGGTGCCCCTGAGTGACTGTGGGTGGAGGGAGCACCCAGAAGCAGGGAGAGCAGTTGAAGAGCACAGGCTTGTTGAGCAGACCTGGCTCAGGGGTGCTACTGAGAGGTGCTTTGCACCACAGGATGCAGCTGGGCACACAGAGCAAGGACAGCCAGTCAGGAGGTGGCTGGGGCGGAGTCCGAGTGAAGGGGCTGGAAAAGGTTCTCAGCTGCTTGGGTGCCTACTCACCTTCCTGTATTCTTCTGTTCCTGTTTCCAGTGCTCAAGTGCATCACCCATCTCTAATTTATTGGCTTGAATTCTTCTCATTCTCATTAAGATTCAGCTTGGAACACCTGCATCCTGTATCCGAGGGCCTAGGTTAGGGTGTCAGATCTCTTTTTTTTTTTTTTTTTTTTTTTTTTAATGACAGGCAGAGTGGGCAGTGAGAGAGAGAGAGAGAAAGGTCTTCCTTTTGCCATTGGTTCACCCTCCAATGGCCGGCGCGGCCGGCGCGCTGAAGCCAGCTCATTGCGCTGATCCGAAGGCAGGAGCCAGGTGCTTTTCCTGGTCTCCCATGCGGGTGCAGGGCCCAAGCACCTGGGCCATCCTCCACTACACTCCCTGGCCACAGCAGAGAGCTGGCCTGGAAGAGGGGCAACCGGGACAGAATCCAGCGCCCCGACCGGGACTAGAACCTGGTGTGCTGGCGCTGCAAGGCAGAGGATTAGCCTATTGAGCCACAGCGCCGGCCAGATCTCCTGATGATTCTAGCTTCCAGTGAGTGTAAACCTTGGGAGGCAGTACTTGAGTCCCTGCTTCTAGTTTTCTGTTGTAGCAAAGTCATTCCTTTTTTCTTTTTAAAAATTATTTATTTATTTAGTTGCAAGGTAGAGTGATAGGAAGAGACAGAAAGAAATCTTCCATCTGCTGGTTCACTCCCCAAATGGCTGCACAGCCAGGGCTGGGCCAGGCAGAAGTCAGGACCCGGAACTCCATCTGGGTCTCATTTGGGTGACAGGGACCCAAATACTTGGGCTGTCATCTACTGCCTTCCCAGATGCACATTGGCAGGAAGCTGGATTAGAAGCAGAGTAGCCAAGACTCTCACTGGCCCTCCAGCATGGGATGCCACTGTCACAAGCAGCAGCTTAACCTGCTGCACCACAGCACTCGCCTCCAAGTTGTTGTTGTTGTTTTTAGCCTAGCTCTTTTGTGTTCCATACCATCTCTCACTGGGTTCCAGCTACGTGCCAAGGATGCCAGGACCTTGATACACTCTTGCCTAACGAAAGAAGTATGTGAAGCTCAGACAAGAAGTTGCCATCTTCTGTCGCATGCCTACAGAGGGGCAGGGCTGGAATTCAGATCCAGGCCTCTGTGACCCTAAAGAGCCTTCTCTTTCTGTAGCATCGTGAAACCTATACTCAGAACCTATCACTCCATGACCCAGAGCCCTGCAAAAGTAACCCCAAGGTTTGTTGTGTCCCTGAGGCCCTCCAGTGGGCCTCATCTGATATACCTAGGCTCATCTTTCATTCCATGTACTAACTCCCATGCAGCATGTGCTTTGAATTAAATCATGCTGTTCTCAACCAGGGATCACTCAATGTCTAAAAAAGCCAGCTGCCTGCTGGGGCTGGCACTGTGGCGTAGCGGGTAAAGCTGACTCAGATGAAGCTCTTGGCTTTGGCCTAGCCCAGCTGGGGAGCGAACCTACCAACGGAAGATCTCACACTTTGTTTCTTCCTCTAATTCTTTCAAATAAATAAATAAATCTTAAAAAAAAAAAGTCTGTCATTAAATAGAGACAGATTTCTTTTCAGACTGAAAGCCTGACCTCAGGACCAGAGATGTCTCCATCACTACTTTCTCAGTGGAATGATTGCCAGGCGCTGGGGTACACAAAGCTAAGCCACAGATGGTCCCTGTCTGCTAAGGGCCAGGGCCAGTACTCTAGTGAGGCTGCAGTGAAGACTGTGGGAGGCACAGGAGTAGATGATTAAACCTAAATACTGATGAAGAAGGCCAGGAAGCGGAACTCCAATAAGCAAGGTTCAAACGGAGCAGCAGGAGGATTTAAAAGAGAAAGGGAACGAGCCTTGTGTAGAGGATCAGGAAAGGGCTGTGTGACCAGGCAGTTAGCTTTTTTTTTTTTTTTTTTTAAGATTTATTTATTTATTTATTTGAAAGTCAAAGTTACACAGAGAGAGGAGGAGAGGGGAGAGAGAGAGAGAGAGAGAGAGAGAGAGAGGGAGAGAGAGAGAGAGAGAGGGAGAGGTCTTCCATCTGCTGGTTCACACTCCCCAGGTTGGCTGCAACGGCTGGAGCTGTGCGGATCTGAAGCCAGGAGCCAGGAGCTTCTTCCGGGTCTCCCAGGTGGGCGCAGGGGCCCAAGGACTTGGGCCATCTTCTACTGCTTTCCCAGGCCATAGCAGAGAGCTGGATCAGAAGTGGAGCAGCTGGGTCTTGAACCGGCACCCATATGGGATGCTGGTGCTTCAGGCTAGGGCTTCAACCCGCTGCGCCACAGCGCCGGCCCCCATGGAGACATTTTCTAATGATTTTTTATTCTGGGTAAGATAAAAATGATTGGGGACTGGCATTATGGAGTAGCGGGTTGAAGCTGCTGCCTGTAATGCTGGCATCCCATATGGATGCTGGTTTGAGTCCAGCTACTTAACTTCCAATCCAGTTCCTTGCTAATATGCCTGGGAAAGCAGAAGAGGATGGGCCAAGTGCTTGGGTCTCTGCATTCATGTGGGAGACCTAGAAGAAGCTTCTGACTCCTGGCTTTGGTCTGTCCCAGATCTGGCCCTTGTGGCCATTTGGGGAGTGAACCAAGTAATTCTCTCTTTCAATTAAATACATAAATAAATCTTTAAAAAAATAAAAAGATTACCTCCTCTAGGGAATGTGTTGTAAGAGACTGTTGTATGAAAAATTTGTTAGCTGTATCTTTTAAACCATGCCTTCATTTTCTTTTTTCTTTTTTTTAAGTTTCTTCAGATGGAGGTACGGAGTCCTCTGCCTTAGTAGATGACAATGGTAGTGAGGAAGACTTCAGCTATGAAGAACTTTGCCAGGCCAACCCTCGGTATCTACAGCCAGGTGGGGAACAGCTGGCCATCAACGAGGTACTGTCATTTCCACAACTGTGGCAATATTGGATCCCAGGGTCCAAAACCATCTCTGAGTCTGCCATGTAATTTTTTTGTATATATACTAAGAATATCCTGGAATCTAGAAGTCTGATTAAAACAACACTGTTATTTTCTTACATTGATCAGGTAAATGTGTGTGCTAGAACTTTCTGGGTAACTGAAAGTTGCCTTTAGATAAGAAGACCAGCGGTCATTAGCATCTGGGGGATACGTTTCAGTTTACAGATTTTCTGCCTTCGTTGTCTCATGTAGTTCTTCATAGTATCTTGGTTTATCTCACTAAGGAGAAATAGTCTTACGTAATTACGTAATTCTCACAACTGACGAAAGAGGTGAATGTTACAGTTATCATCCACATTGTAATACACGCTCTGCAACAGAGAGGTTCAATTACCTGTTAACAAATGGGAGAGCTGGAATTCACCACATGTTCCTCACTCCCAGTCTCATGTTCTTTCTGCCACAACTCAGCCCTGGCCCTTTGCGTGGAAATCTAGAAGGCGCCTCCAGCTGTGGCGTTCTTGAGCAGGGCATGTGGAGCGTACTTCTCAGCAAGCTGAGGTCCCTGCTGAGATGGGCAGTCCTCACTGTATAAGATGAAACAACAGGTCTGGGAGCCAAGGAGATGTGCAGAACCACCTGCACCTGCAGCCAAACATCGGCAGCTACAGTGTGTCCTTAATTGTCTGTCTTTATTAAATTTTAAACATCCTGAGAACATGCTGAACTCTCTTTAATAACAGTAGCGATAAAGCTGGCTCCAAGCTTACTCAGATTGTGAACCAGGCCTGAATACTTCACTCCGGGGAAGATGGGAGACTTCAGTAACACACGTGCACAGCTTTAGGAGGTCTATCTTGCTGACATGTTGGCTGCTCAGAAACATGTTTTTTGGTTCTTATACTTTAGTTTGTTAGATACCAATTTACAGCCAAGTGAGCTTTTATACTGGTGATGCCCAACTTTTGAGGATTTGACTTGGAATTTTTTTTTTTTTACTTCACAATAGAGTGAAAGTGATACCCATTCAGAAGAAACCATACTTCAAATTTTGCATTCTGATTTTTTTTCCAGGCTAGAGAAACAAAATAACTATTCTGTTTTCACTTTCATTGGGTATTCAGTAGAGTACATGAGACACTCAACATTTTATTAGAAAATGGGCTTTGTGTGATATGATTTTGCCCAAGTATAGACTAATGGAAGTGTTCTGAGCACCTGGAAGATAGGTGAGGCTTAGCTGGGATGTTGAGTAAGTTATGTATAATGTGTTTTCCACTTGGGATATTTTCTATTTACAGTGGGTTTCTCAAGAGGCAGCCCTGATATAAGTAAAGAAACACCTGTATACTTTTAAAAAATATTTATTTACTTATTTGAGAGGCAGAGCTATAGAGAGAGGGAGAGACAGATAGAAAAGTCTTCCTTCCACTGGTTCACTCCCCAAATGACTGGCTGCAGTGGCTGGAGCTGGTCTGATCCAAAGCCAGGAGCCAGTGCTTCCTCCAGGTCTGCCTTGAAGGTGCAGGGGCCCAAGCACATGGGCCATCTTCTGCTTTGCCAGGATGTTGCAGAGAGCTGGATCAAGACTCGAACCCGTGCCCATATGGGATGCCAGCACCATAGGTGGAGGCTCAGCTCACTACACCACAGCGCCGGCCCCACATCTGTACACTTTTAAAATAGATTTGGGGTTTCCTCTAAGAGATGCTCCCATGATTTTGTTTTCCCTGGAATGATTTTCTCATTTTGTATAACCAAACAATAGGGAGTTCACTGGATGCCCCTTGTGTGTCCGAACAAGAAGCAGAAGATGTTGGCGTTGCCCTGAGAGAGTTCACACTGAGGCCCCTGGCCATCCTGCCCACTTGGTTTCCACACTGAGCATGCCCTCTGTCTCTGTTTCAGCTCATCAATGATGGCAGTGTGGTCTGCGCAGAGGCCCTGTGGGACCATGTAACCATGGACGACCAGGAACTGGGCTTCAAGGCCGGCGATGTCATCCAGGTTCTGGAAGCCTCTAACAAGGACTGGTGGTGGGGCCGGAATGAGGATAAGGAAGCCTGGTTCCCCGCAAGCTTTGTGAGAGTAAGTATGTGGTGCTCTGTGCTTTTCAGAAGTATCTGTCACAGGCTGCAGAATCATTTCAGGCCAGATCTCACGCTTCACACAGATTTCATTCTTTTGTAATTGTTTTTAATCCAACATGTAAATCACACCTGTAGGAAATTAAAACTGAGTCAAAGTAAAAGTTTCGTCAAAAGTAAACGGGTTGTTTGCCACCATTGCTCTGTTACTTGAGCCTGCTGGTGGGGCTGAGGCTCTGCTAAGTACAAAAAGACGTAAGCTGGGACTGGGCTGCCTTCATGCCTTGCCATGGAGAAGTAGAAACCAGGAAGGTATTCTGCACTGGGTCTGGTGTCACCATCCCCTCCCCAAGTCACCTGTCCCCTGTGTGTGAACCGCAGCTGCGAGTCAATCAGGAGGAGCTGTCGGAGAATTCCAGCAGCACCCATGGGGAGGAGCAGGAGGAGGATGCCAGCAAACCCCGCCACAAGCACTCTGAGAACAAGCACCAGATGAGGACCAACGTCATCCAGGAGATCATGAACACCGAGCGGGTGTACATCAAGCACCTCAAGGATATCTGCGAGGTAAGGCGCCAGCTCCGCAGGTCACAGTACGCAGAGAGTGAAGCCCCCGTGCGCGGCCTTCCCCAGCTCGTCCCCAGTCCCACCTTCGTATTTGATACCCTTCCACACCCCTCATTTCTCCTCACTGCCTGGCCCATCAGGGCCCTGCGCAGACTCATTAAGCACCTGCTGTCTGCGTTGCTGCAAACACATACGTGGCTGTTTCTGTGGCTAACCCACCCTCAGTTACTGTAGCTGGTTCTCCTTAAGGACACGGTCTCCAGCTAGCTCTTTCATGATTTAATTCTTGAGATTATTTAAAGTGGATGACTTCCCTAGAAGGTGGCAACACCCTTAAAGTGAAACCCACCTGGCTTTACAAATCATCAAAGGTTTGTCACTGTCTCCAACCCCACTGTCTCTGATCACTGACTCGCATATGAGATTTACAATCATTTGACACAGACCAAAACAAAAAAATTTATCTGATGGTAACCAGTGCTGTATTTTACACGGTCACAGTCTAATTGGCTATCAATTTTATTTTCTAAAAAAATATATTGTCTTGACTTCAGAGAACTGATTATTAGTAGATGTGAATCTGAAAGAGTTTTTCCTTCCATATTTTTCATTGTTGTGGATTTCATCAGATAATTACACTGCACTGTTGTTGGCCCAGTCTGATCATTCCAGCATTCCTGAATGCTGGTGTCGGTCTTGTGAGTTCAGCTGTGACCACTCAGTGCTAAAGGCAAGTGGAAATCAGCAGTGCTCATTCTGTGATCAGATGAGCCAGTTTGGCTTAGATGTGCCACATCTTATTCTGTATTGATGTATGGCTGTAGTCACCTTAAAATGATGGTTGCTAGTAGTTACTGAGTGCTGACTTTTGCCAGCCCTTTACTTGGATTAACTCAGCTGTTAAAGCTTCCTCGTTGAACAGGTCCTGTGAGCCCCGTGTTGCAGATGAGGCACGGAGAAGTTAAGTAGTGGACAAGGGATTCAAACCCCAGAGCCTGAACTCTGAACTATAACATTACACATTTTCTCTGTGAAAATGTATACCAAATAATCAGTGGTTTATATTATATTTAATTCATTTAGTCTGTTTAATTCCATGATGCTAGTTTAGAGGTGACTTTACATATATCTAAGTGTTAGTGTGCCACTAACACTATAGCCATGGTGTTGTACATTGAGAATTAATTAGTGCAGGCCTCTGGGTAAGAATGTACAGACTTACTGTGTATCTAGAAAGTGGGTGACAGTGGAATACTCTGGTAGGAAATTCTTAGCTCCTTGCCGTGATTGACAATGAACAGAACTTTGTTAGCTGCTCAGCAAGTGGTGATATTCTGTGTTTGACAAGTCTTCTCGGCTGTGGAATGGAATTCATGATGGGAAAATGATTATCTTAAGAGTTTAGAAAAAAGTGTGGCAACAACAGTTTTTGAGCTTTGGTATTTGAAACTGCCATTTGAAACTTGTTTCTGGAAACTTCCTGTGATGTCTTCGATGATACATCCAGCTGCATGAAGCTTTTCATGTTTCTTTTGTTCTTCAAATATTTCTGGCAAATTGTAGTCATGGAAATAAGATCATTTCATCAGGGACTCAGAGAAGTTAAAATAATTTTCTCTGATTAAAATTCCAAATGCTCTGGCATAGGGCCCTAAGAACTATATTATTCAAATAAAGAATTTCTTTGAACTTCCAGATAAATAAAGTTTGCTTTTGTATTTTGCAGGGTTACATTCGACAGTGTCGTAAGCATACAGGAATGTTCACTGTTTCGCAACTAGCCACTATTTTTGGAAACATTGAAGATATTTACAAATTCCAAAGAAAATTCCTGAAAGACCTTGAGAAACAGTACAACAAAGAGGAGCCTCATTTAAGTGAAATAGGATCCTGCTTTCTGCAGCACGTAGGTCACCCTTTGCTTCAGTATTAGTGCATCCGGTTACTGCACTAACAACAGGAGTTTTTGTTTTGTTTGTTTGCTAGATTAATTTCCCGTACAGTAGAAATTTCTATGCTAAATTTGATTGATTTATGAGGACAGTGTTTGCCTAAATACCCCAAGTCATTTTTCAAATTCCCCTAATGTAGTTTGAAGTTAGAGGGCTGTGTCAGCTGGCTTATACTATCTGGTAAATATGCGGTATTTCACGTGCTGTGAGTCTCCTGTTGACTGCTGTGCTAACCTGAGGCAGGTCTGATTATTTCCTCCATCTTACAGATGGAGGATTTACCAAGTTACTTAATTTACCAAGTAATAACCATGACAACAAAACCACCTCCTTCACTTCCTGGGTGCAGGACCCAATAGCTTTCAGAGCCAGTAAAGGGAGCCAGTCCTCTGGATGGGAGGATTTCACATAGCTGAGCATGACATGTTTTGGGGAGTGGGCCCCAGAGGTGGCCTGGGCATGTTTGGAGCATTGGAAAAGCCTTGTGCAGGCAGGGTGGGCAGGGCAGCCACATCCTATAGCATGGTGATGTGAGCGTCCAGTGTCAGGTCGAGGGGCAGGGCCATGTGAGGCCCCCAGCCTCGGATGGCAGGTCTGCCTGGAGGGCCACACGCTCTGCCACGTGGCTGCTGCCACGGCCGTCGGGGAGATGGGTAAAGAGATATTTGTTCAAATTCGTGTTCTTCAGAAAAGCTGACCAGAAGGGTTGTAGGCAACAAAGGTCACAGTCAAAACTGCCTGCATGGTTTTGCCTATCAAAGGATTAGCAGGTTGACTAGGAAGATCTGTTCTCTAGGGGGTGGGGGTTTGGTGTTAGACATGTTGCCTTGGTCAGGGAGGTTCAGCAGTGGAAGTACAGTGGACAAAGCCAAGAGGCGGGCTTTGGTCTGCCACCTTCCCCTGCTACCTGAAAGGCAGATCAAACTGATAAGGAAGGTGTTGTAGAGGGATTCGTGAACAGAGACGAGACACCAAGGCCAGGAAGCAGTCTTTTATTATTATTATTATTATGCTGGCATAAGGCTCAGTTGGATTTTTATCCAAAAGCCTGAGCTTCAAAGGAAGAGGAGTATTAGGGGTGTTAGCCTCTTTGTCTCCCTTATGTGGTTTCATGCATACATTTGATTGGATATTCTCATGCTCCATGGAGGCTATAGGAATTGATACAGTACTGCACATGTGTAGATATTCACTGAGGATGTTTCCTTTACACACATTCTGAGCTGTGTGCTGTCTAGCACACAGAACACCAGGAACCCAAGCAGATAGCAGATAGCAATTTCACAGGCAAGCAGAGAACAACTGCATTTCATTCTCAGGACAGGTTTTCCCCACCCCGCCACCCCTGTGTTTTGTTTTGTTTTTCTTTCTTCTGACCTTGGGAAGGCCTCCACCACAGCTTCAATCGTGTTAGTTAGAGACAAGTTTAATTAAAAGACAAAGGCCTCGGATGTCCTAAACAGCATTCTGGCCTCAGAATCAGCCCTTAAGGCATGCGGATCTGGCTGAAAAGCCTATGAGAGTATTTCAGGCATGGAAAGCCAAGACACTCTGGCAAATAAAAAAAAATAAAGGCCCTAAATGAAAGATCTCCACGAGTGAGATCCCAGTGGAAAGAACGGGTCATCAAAGAAGGAGGTACCTTTCTCTGAAGGGAGGAGAGAACTTCCACTTTGACTATGACCTTGTCTAAATATGATAAGAGTCGGTGAACTCAAAAGGCTTCCATAGCCTTGGCAACTCATGACTGGAGCCTAGGGAGATTCATGATGCCATAAACAAGAGTGTCACTGTGCACTTACTCCTCATGTAGGATCTCGGTCCTTAATGTGCCGTACATTGTGATTTAATGCTATAACTAGTACTGAAACAGTATTTTTCACTTTGTGTTTCTATGTGGATGCAAACTGTTGAAATCTTTACTTAATATATACTAAACTGATCTTCTGTATATAAGAGAAATGAAAATGAATCTCGATGTGAATGGAAGGGGAGAAGGAGCGAGAAAGGGGAGGGTTGCAGTGGGAGGGAAGTTATGGGGGGGGCATTGTAATCCATAAGCTGTACTTTGGAAATTTATATTCATTAAATAAAAGTAAAAAAAAAAAGAAAAGAAAAAGGCCTCTACCACAGTGTGGCAGAGGTCCCTGCCCCTTTTACCTGTCAGGGTAAGTGGAGGTGGGGCTGTATCCCAGAACAGCCTGGCCCTTCACCCCACCAAGAGAGAACCGCAGGTAACCACCCGCTGAGAGCCTGTGACAGCGCCCCGTCTTGCAGACAAGACACAGGTTCACTGTCCAGGCATGAAGCCCATGCGGAGCAGCCTGGGTTGCAGTCACAATCTCCCCCTTTTCCAGGAGTGTCCTCTTGGGTGGGGCTGGGCTGTTGCCAGAGCCGCCTGTAACCTGATGAGGCTGTGCTTTCCCTTCCTCAGCAAGAGGGCTTTGCCATCTATTCCGAGTACTGCAACAACCACCCGGGCGCCTGCGTGGAGCTCTCCAACCTCATGAAGCAGGGCAAGTACAGGCACTTCTTTGAAGCCTGCCGCCTGCTGCAGCAGATGATTGACATCGCCCTCGACGGCTTCCTCCTCACGCCCGTGCAGAAGATCTGTAAATACCCCCTGCAGCTGGCCGAGCTGCTCAAGTACACCACACAGGAGCACAGGTGAGGGAGTCCTGCCTCGCGCGTCCCTCAGGCTCGGCCCCACCCCGGCCCCGCCCCCCACGGGCTTCTGGCATAGCAGAGACAGATGCCCTAAAATGATGACCTCTAGTTCCGGGCAGAACCATGCGCGGCATGGTTAAGATGCCTACATCCCATCCCGCATGCCTTCTGATCCAGCTTCCCCTAAATGTGGACCCTGGGAGGCCATGGCGGTGATTCAGGTATTTGGGTTCCTGCCACCCACGTGGGAGACCCAGAGTTCCAGGCTCTTTGTTCTTAGCCTGGTCTCGCTCTTGCTATTGCAGGCATTTGGGGAGTGAACCATTGGAAGTTTCTTTCTCTCTCTATGCCTTTCAAATAAAATGAACGTAAATAAATAATAATGAATAAATAAAACACAGTCTTAGCACTGTCATTGAGCTCAATATGAGTAGTTTGTGGATTGATTAGTGTTTGCATGCGATTGTCAACTCTTGAAATAAAGTACAGCAATTCCCTCCTCTGCCCTCCCCGACCCCCAACCCCCATTTGTGGAAATCCAGTTATCCATGGTCAGTCACATTCCAAAACTACTAAGTGGAAAATTTCAGAGATTAAGAACTTTTTTTTTGACAGGCAGAGTTAGTGTGAAAGAGAGAGAGACAGAAAGGTCTTCCTTTTTCCGTTGGTTCACCCCCCAAGTGGCTGCTATGGCTGGTGCGTTGTGGCTGGCGCGCTGCGCTGATCCGAAGCCAGGAGCCAGGTGCTTCCTCGTGGTCTGCCATGCGGGTGCAGGGCCCAAGGACCTGAGCCATCCTCTGCTGCCCTCCCGGGCCACAGCAGAGAGCTGGACTGGAAGAGGAGCAACCGGTACAGAATCCGGCGCCCCAACCAGGACTAGAACCCAGGGTGTCAGCGCCGCAGGTGGAAGATTAGCCTAGTGAGCTGCGGCGCTGGCCGAGATTAATGACTTTTAACTTCTGCATAACTTTCATTGTGGTATATTGTTATAATTCAATTTTACTGTGACTCATTGTTTTGAATCTCTTACTGTGCTGTATTTATGAATTAAACTTTATTATGGGAATATCTGCACAGGAAAAAATATAGCTTATATCAGGTTCAGCTCTACTCAAAGTACAGAGAATGCATGGTGTTTTGGAACGTGCCCCATGGATAAGGGGCTTGCTATGTTTGATAAAGTCTCCAAAATATCCATTCCTAGAGAAATGAAAATATTATCTCATTCTCACACTGTTCCATGCGTGCCTAGGGACTTGTACCATAGTGTTAGTCCTTATCATTTACAGATACACACACACACACACACACACGTATTCCTTTGTTGTTGTTTGTTAGTTAAAAAAAACCATTTTTTAAAAAAGATTTTATTTATTTATCTGAGAGGTAGAGTTACAGACAGAGAGAGGGAGGGACAGAAAGAGAGGTCTTCCCTCCACCGGTTCACTCCCCAAATGGCCACAACAGCTAGAGCTGTGCCAATCCAAAGCCAGGAGTCCAGAGCTTCTTTCAGGTCTCCCAAGCCAGTGCAGAGGCCCAAGCACTTGGACCATCTTTCACTGCTTTCCCAGGCAGGCCATAGACAGAGAGCTGGATTGGAAGCGGAGCAACCAGTGTATGAACCGGCCCCTATTTGGGATGCTGGCACTGCAGGCGAAGGCTTGGCCTATTATGCCACAGCACCAGCACCAGCCGTTTTTAAATAAGGATGATTGACAACGCCCTTGATGGGTTCCTCCTCATGCCAGTAAGAAGGTCTATAAATACCCTCTGCAGCTGGCTGAGCCCCAGTGCAGCACGCAGGAACACAGGTGTTACAGGTGTGCCTGTAGCCTCACAAATTCGTTCCTTCTCTCCTGTACTCCTGTACTCCTTACCTTGGTTGACAACAGCTCACTCCCTGAGAAGTATTTACTACACCAAAAAAGGTTACTGTATAGAAGGGGTAAAGATATACAAAAGTTTGAAGCATGAAAGATTAGGGAATACCCACAGGATAGAGGAGCACCAGGGTCTTTCCGTGACTGGGTTTGCCCTGTGTCACCTTGTGTGTTGGAGCCTCAGCTTCTGAATGACCACACACTTTATTGTCAGCTTGGATTGTTTCTGGATTCTTCTCAGTCCCTTGTATCCTAGCCATATAGGGGAACCACTTATCCCTTGCTTACTTAACAGCAACCCATCATTGTCCTGCATGTACATAGCCTTGCCATGACTCCATGTAAGAGGGTGCATCACCCATTCAGCATTGGAAGAGGCACGCCCATTGTCTGCCACATGGGAAAATGCCACCACAGTGCAGTGCCATGCTGATTGCTGGTGTTCTCATCTGGCTGTGGCTGGGAAGCCTACAGGGCCAGGACAGTAGCAGGGCACCAATTCTGCCAGGCCACACAGTAATGCATAAGAATGCATAAACTGCATGCCCATGTCTTTCAAGAACTCTTTGCTTCTTAATTACTTGTATTTTCTCTGGCTTCTTATCATGATCTGTTTTCATACTTTTATTATTATTTCTTGGATTCCCTAACTTTTCTGGTTTGTTTTTTTTTTTTGATAAATGTAATTTGCTTTTCTCTATTTCACGAACTCTCTAGTGCTAATTCTCTAAATTAAAACCCTTAGCTAGAGTCTGCTGTTCACTGACCTCCCTGTTACTTTCAAGCCAGTGCCGTGGCTCACTTGGCTAATCCTCTGACTGCAGCACCGGCACCCCGGGTTCTAGTCCCGGTTGGGGCTCTGGGTTCTAGTCCCACTTGCTCCTCTTCCAGTCTAGCTCTCTGCTGTGGCATGGGAGGGCAGCGGAGGATGGCCCAAGTGCTTGGGTCTCTGCACCCGCATGGGAGACCAGGAGGAAGCACCCGGCTCCTGGCTTTGGATCAGTGCAGCACCGGCTGTAGCAGCCATTAGGGGAGTGAACCAACAGAAGGAAGACGTCTCTCTCTGTCTCTCTCTCTCTCTCTCTCTCTCTCTCTCAGTCTATAACTCTGTCTCTGTCTCTCTCTCACTGTCTAACTCTGCCTGTCAAAAAATAAAAATTAAAAAATTTAAAAAAACAGATTGCAATCTAGGGGCGGGTGCTGTGGCGTAGCAGGTAAAGCTGCCACCTGCAGTGCCAGCATCCCATATGGGCGCCAGTTTGAGACCTGGCTGCTCCACTTCCTATGCAGCTCTCTGCTGTGGCCTGGGAAAGCAGTAGAAGATGGCCCAAGTCCTTGGACTCCTGCACCCATATGGGAGACCTGGAAGAAACTCTTGGATCCTGGCTTCGAATTGGCCCAGCTCTGACCGTTGTGGCCATTTGGGGAGTGAGCCAGCGTTTGGAAGATCTCTCTCTCTCTCTGCCTCTGCCTTTCTGTAACTCTTTCAGGTGGATAAAAAAAAAGATTTCAATCTAATTGTAAAAGGTTACCCCCCCCCCCATTTTAAGACTTATTTATTTATTTGAAAGACAAAGTAAGAGAGAGAGAGGGAGGTAGAGAGGGAGGGAGAGAATCGATCTTCCATCTACTGGTTCACTCCCCAGGTGGCCACAACAGCCAGGTCTGGGCCAGACCAAAACCAGGAGCCAGGAGTTTCTTCTGGGTTGCTGTCCTACATGCATGACAGGGGCCCAAACACTTGAGCCATCTTTTGCTCGCAGGCCATTAGCAGAGAGCTACATTGGAAGTAGAGCAGCCAGGACATGAACCAGCACCCATATGGGATGCCGGCATCACAGACTGTAGCTTTACCTGCTAACACCACAACATTGCCCCCAAAAATGGCTCCCTTTTTAAAGAAGTCTCCCCTTAGGTGCTCAGAGACAGAGAGAACAACAACTATTAATTTGCTGTTCTGTGCAGGACAGCACAACAGTGCCCCCCCCTTACCAGGCTTCCGCTTTCCAGGGTTTCAGCAGTTTCACCTACCCAAGGGCAACTATTTGAAAAGATTTAATGGAAAATTCTGGAAATACACACTCATAGTTTAACTTATTATATTGTTATAATGGTTCTGTTTTATTATTATTGTCAATCTGTGACTGAATTATAAATTAAACTTTATCCTAGGTGTATATGTATAGGAAAAAGTATATCACAAGGTTACTTCAAAAAGTTATCTAAAAATGGAATTAGTTTGTTTTGGTGTAAAAAAATTTGAAATTCATACATATAAAGAGTCTTAAAAATGTTCATTAAATGTTACAGAAAAACTATTGTGGATTTCAAAATGTTTTTGCACCAAAATTTTTAATTTTCCTCAAAGTTTTGTAGTACTCTCATACATATAATGGTTTGTATCTGCAGTTTGAGACAAGTTCAGGATGTTAGAAAAACTAGTCATGGACAAGGGAGAATTACTGTATTGAGTTGATTTTTTTCTCTCTTTTTTAATTTGTTGTCTTCATTGTAATTTTAGTTACAGTGAATTTTAGTTATTTGAAAGACAGAGAGGCACAGGAGGATCTTCCATCTGCTGCTTCACTCCCCAAATGCCCACAATAGCTTGGGCTGGGTCAGGCTGAAGCTAGGAGCCCAGAACTCAATCTTGGTCTCCCACGTTGTGGCAGCGACCCAGGCACTTGGGCCTCATCATCATCTGTTGTTCCCTGGAATGAGCGTTAGTGAGAAGAAACTGGAGTTGGAAGTAGAGCCAGAACTCAGCCAGGCACTCTGATACTGGATGTAGGCATCCTGAGTGGTGATTTAATAGCTTTGTCCTATTCCCTACTCCATAATTTTTCTGTTTAAGGGCACTTTTTTTTTTTTTTTTTTTTTTTACAGGCAGAGTGGACAGTGAGAGAGAGAGAGACAGAGAGAAAGGTCTTCCTTTTGCCATTGGTTCACCCTCCAATGGCCGCTGTGACCGGCGCACTGCGGCCGGCGCACTGCGCTGATTCGAAGACAGGAGCCAGGTGCTTCTCCTGGTCTCCTATGGGGTGCAGGGCCCAAGCACTTGGGCCATCCTCCACTGCCCTCCCGGGCCACAGCAGAGAGCTGGCCTGGAAGAGGGGCAACCGGGACAGAACCCGGCGCCCCAACCGGGACTAGAACCCGGTGTGCCGGCGCCACTAGGCGGAGGATTAGCCTAGTGAGCCGCGGCGCCGGCCTAAGGGCACTTTTCAATATGAGCATTTGCAGATCTTGACTATTAAAAAAAAATATATATATATATAAAATATATATTATATATATAAAATATATATAATATATATATATATATATATATTTGAAAGAGAGAGTTACAGAGAGAGGTAGAGACAGAGAGGTCTTCCATCCGCTGGTTCACTCCCCGGGTGACCGCAATGGCCGGAGCTATGCCAATCTGAAGCCAGGAGCCAGGAGCTTCTTCCAGGTCTCCCACAATGGTGCAGGGGCCCAAGGACTTGGGCCATCTTCTACTGCTATCCCAGGCAGTAGCAGAGAGCTGGATTGGAAGAGGATCAGCCGGTTCTTGAACCGGTGCCCATGTGGGATGCCGGCACTTCAAGCCAGGGCTTTAACCCACTACGCCACAAAGCCAGCCCCATAAGTAAATCTTTTTAAAAAAAGAAAGTTGCTACAGGAAAGTAGAAGGTTCCTCCCATTAGTGGGTGATTGTTTACATGTCCCAAATTATTAAGGCTGAACAAAACCAGAATGCAAAACTTCAAATTACCTGTTTTCTAGCCTGTGTGAGATTGGAAGTATGTCATTTGTTTTTCCATTGCATACAATTGTGGAGGCCTGGGAACAGGACTCTGCTGGGGAGAATCCGAATTTGATTTGACTGTAGTGTATGCAAAACAACAGAATTGCAGATGTGTTGCTGAGCCAAGTGCCCCTCTAGCACTGGCATAACTCAGATTCAGGTATCTGAATCTGTGGCTTTCATCCTCTTCCTTCCCTTCCTGAGCAACCTAAACGATGAAACCCAGCAAATAACTGCTCTTGAAATGGTGCGGGATTTAAAAAGTATCTCACAGGACAAAACCGGTTAAACCAGAATCAAAGCACTGAAAAAAGATTACTCTTTCTGTATTAACAAAAATATTCCATTGTCACAGTGGCTAGAACTTAATTCTTGTGGCATTTACATTCATTCGTTGTGATTTCTGGGAAGTGAATGAAAACATTCTTATTCCAGATAACTCTGAATTGCATTCCATTCCGTCAGCTCCCTTAACCTATGCAGACTGTGGTCTATTCATGGGGGAACAGAACAAGGAAACAATAGCTATTATTTGAATGCCACTTCGTCTAGACTATTAGTATACAAGTCGGGGATTGAGCGCATTATTTTGTCAGCTCTCATTTGTGAGTTGCATGTTGTATGACTAAAAGTAACCTCCCATTTTGTAGTGATTACAACAACATAAAGGCAGCCTATGAGGCCATGAAGAATGTGGCCTGTTTGATCAATGAGCGCAAACGGAAGCTGGAAAGCATTGACAAGATCGCCCGCTGGCAGGTGTCCATCGTGGGCTGGGAGGTAAGTGAAGACCCCGGAGCCACCAGCACCATGTCACCCAGCACCAGCCTTTCTGTACCTTTGACCTAGTGGTGACATACTTAAATATCCTGTGGCTGAGCACGTTAATAGCTTATATACACTTTGCTGCATTTACCAGTCAACACTCTATCCTCCTTGCAGACAAAGAAATAAAAATCTGAAAGGTGCCTGTGATTAATTTACTGCCCAGGCTCCATCTCTCCCAGTAGAGTCAACTCCATGGGGGCAGCTGGAGTATATTTCACATACAGTCACATAAGACAGTGGTAGGAGCAGGGGGAGTCTGAGTTACTGCCTGCATTTGGATCCTGTCAGATCTGGGCAAGATTAATTTTCCCATCTCTTCAAGTTAGGGAGAAAAATTACCAACCTCAGACGCTACTGTAAGCAGCAGCAGCACTACTTACTATGACCCGTAATGGCCCAGCAAATACACACACATGTACACAAGCCTTTCTTATTTGTTTATAGAAACTGCAGTGACTGTTTATCACTTTGCTTTTGTCTGGCACTGGTCTAAGCTGTGTGTGTACACAAACTCACTTGATCCTCTCAGCAATCCTAAGAATTAGGCAGTATAGATAACACCCATTTAACAGATGGGAAACACTTAAGCACAGAAAGATTAAATAGCTTGCCCCAAGGCCACACAACTACAAAGTGGCAGCCCTGGATTGAGACTCAAACACGCAACCTGGCTTCTAAGTCTGTACATGTACCCACTGTGCTCTTCCACTGTTAGGAAGAACAGTAGGCTGACACCATTCAGATTGTGTTCAGAACAAGAAAAATTTGTATACTCATCAACTGGGGAGAACTTGCTCCCCAAAACGACCAAGAAGATGCATTGAGAAGTTAGGGTTTTAGTCACTGAAGGGCATAGTGGTGGAAGTTGGGAAAAATTACCTATATTTCAAGCGACTTATGGACTTCTGTTGCATAGATGGGATCTCAAAGATGGCTGAATCTAACTCCTTTGTTTTGTAAGAAAAGAATCTAGGGCACACATTGCTCTAAGCAAGTAAATAGAAGAACTGCTTCAGAGTGGAGCTTTTTTGCATCCAAAAACTGTTGTACATGGCTAAGATTAAAGGGGAATAAAATCTTAAAGAAACAAAGGCTGGTGTTGTACCAAATACCATAAAGTAACATTGGATTAGATCCAACCTAAATATTGTAAAAGTGTGCTTTTCATTCTGATCTTGGACTCTGACAATGAAGGGCTGATTTACCTTCAGAAGTTTTCTTGGTTCTTACCACAGTTTGCTGCCTGGTTTCATTGCCAGGGCCCTAAACTAGTTGTTACTCCAGGGAGCTGCCGTACACGTGACTTCAGAAGCCACAAGAGCGTGTACGCTGGTGTTCTGTGTTCCCCCACGTTCCAACCTCCCAGTGCTTCCTTATCCTGAGAGGGGCAGTCTTGGTCAGCTTCTGTTTCAGATCTTGACCAATCATATTAAGTTAGCATACATTTCGCTGGAGTTTTAGGTCCGAAAGACTCCTCAGGTAACCTAAAGGTTCTATGATGTTTTCTCACTGAGTAGGGGGACAAAGAAATTTCATGCACAAGGCAATCAAGAAGCAATTTTTAAATGGCTTTTGAGGTCCTGCCCACCTGTGAAGGAAGGAAGGCTGTGGATGGTCTGAAGTTACTGGAAAATGCTAAAAAGACTATCAGGGGCCCCTTCTATGTGCCAAACACCCAGAAGAATCTGAATTGGAAGATTTTTTTTTAAATCTATTAATTTATTTGAAAGTGAGAGTTATATAGAGAAAAGCAGAATGAGATCTTTCAGCTGCTGGTTCACTCCCCTGGATGGCCACAATGGTCAGGGGTGGACCAGGCCAAAGCCAGGAGCCCAAAGCTTCTTCTGGGTCTCCCACATGGGTGGCAGGGGCCCAAACACTTGGCCATCTTCTGAGACTTTTCCCAGGCCATCAGCGAGGAGCTGGATTGAAAGTGGAGCAACTAGGACTTGAACCAGCGCCCATATGGGATGCTGGTGTTGCTGGTGGCGGCTTTATTGGAAGCGTGTTTTTCTCTCTCCAGGGACTGGATATTTTAGATCGAAGCTCAGAGCTGATTCATTCTGGGGAACTGACCAAAATCACAAAGCAGGGCAGGAGCCAGCAGCGGACGTTCTTCCTGTTCGACCACCAGCTGGTGTCCTGCAAGAAGGACCTGCTGCGCCGGGACATGCTGTACTACAAGGGCCGCATAGACATGGACGAGATGGAGCTTGTGGACGTGGAGGACGGGCGGGACAAGGACTGGAACCTCAGTGTGAGAAACGCCTTCAAGCTCGTCAGTAGGACCACTTCTGAGGTTCATCTGTTCTGTGCCAAAAAGCAGGAAGACAAGGCGAGGTGGCTGCAGGCCTGTGCGGATGAGAGGCTGCGGGTACAGGAGGACCAGGAGATGGGTGAGCAGCCATCAGTGACCCCGGGGCTCATCTGCCTCTGCTTCTGACCTCATCCTTCACCCCACGCCACAGGCCTGCCTGGCCCTGGCCCTGGCCCTGGCCCTCGCCATCACCCCCTTCTTCGAAACTAAATCCTGCAATTGGGAAAAGAGAAAGGGTTTGCAAATCCCAGTGCAGTCGACCCTCTGTATACATGAGTTCCGAATATGCAGATTCAGCCAACTGCAGATCCCATAACAATACACTACAACTATTTGCATAGTTTTTCCACTGTATTAGATGTTCTGAATTATCCAGAGATGGTTTAGAGTGTACAGGGAGTGTGCACAGGTTCAATGCAAATACTAACTACTAAGGACTTGTGCATCCACAGATCTTGGTATCTGAGGAGGATCCCCAAATCAGTCCTCCACAGTACCAAAGGACAGCCAAACTCACTGAAAATGAGCCCTGGTCTCCTTGCCACATGTTCAGAGAACCTAGATTCATCTGACTACTTGGAGCCAGACTTGGCTTTAGAAGACAGACCCTACCATGTAGTTACTGCAGACAGCATTCATTAGTCACTGCTGCCAAGACTCTGCTCCAGTTTCTGGTTTGTCTCATTCAGTCCCTAGGATGTGGTTACTACGATTATACACATTTTACAGATGAGAAAATGGAGGCTTAAAGAACTGACTTACTCTTAGAACATGGCTGGGTAGCATTTAAAGCTGCCTCAGTGTGACCCCAGAGACCAAAGCATGTTGAGTCATTCTCACCCAGCCCATCAGAAATGCCAGATGATTCTTTTCTTAAAAAAAAAAAAAAAGTTTATTTATGTATTTGAAAGTCAGAGATACACACAGAGAGAGGAGAGGCAGAGAGAGAGAGAGAGAGAGTGAGTCCTCCTTCCACTGGTTCACTCTCCAATTGGCTGCAATGGCTGGAGCTGCACAGACCTGAAGCCAGGAGCCAGGAGCCTCCTTGGGGTCTCCCATGAAGGTATACTGGCTCAAACACTTGGACCATCTTCTACTGCTTTTCCAGGCCATAGCAGAGAGCTGGATCGGAAGTGGAGCAGCTGGGACTTGAACCAGCGCCCATATGAGATGCTGGCACTGCAGGTGGCAGCTTTACCCACTGTGCCACAGCACCGGCCCCTCAGATGATTCTTGAAGCTGCCTCCTCCATAGTAACTTTGCAAAAAGCACTTTAAAAACACATTTATTTATTTGAAAGGCAGCGTTACAGAAAGAGGGAGAAACAGACAGTTCTCTCTGCTGGTTCACTCCCCAAATGGTTGCAACAGCCAGGGCTGGGCCATGCCAAGTCCAGTAGCTAGGAATTTCATCTGGGCCTCCCACTTGGGTTCACTTGGGTTCAGGGGCCCAAACACTCGGGCTATCTTCTGCTGCTTCCCCAGCTGCATTAGCAGCGAGCTGGATGGGAAGTTGAGCAGCCGGTGCTCAACCTGGTGCTCATATGAGATACCAGTGTTGCAGGTGGCGGCTTAGCCTGCCGTGCCATAACGCTGGTGCCTGCAAAAAGCACTTGGAGTTACTTTTGCTGCCACAGTCCATTCAGACCCAGCAACGCTGCCTATGTACATCCCCATCTCCCTCCTCCATGGCACCGAGGACATCAGGGCTGCTTTGTCTTCCCAGCTTCCACTGACCTCAGGTACTGTGTGTCCCTGTGCCACTGAGGCCGCTGTGCCTGGGGTAAATGATGGTGGCACCCACAGACTCTGGCAGCATCAGCCACAGAGGCCCCAGTGGAGCCAGCACCTGCCTCCGGGAGGGAAGGCTTTCCATTGGAGAAGGCTGTTCCCTGGGCCTGTCCCTCAGTCTCTCTCTGCAGCTTGTCTTATCCCGTTTGGCCAGTGCAGCCGTTCCCAGCCAGTCTGCACATGGGTGCGACGGCATCCATCTGCTCTAGAACTGCAGAGCGTGGGGGGAGTTCATGGCACACAGTGTGCCCAGATGTGATACAAAGTCCAGTTCCCCCTCTGGGGTGGTACATTCATTCACGATTGAATCCCTGATCCACAAAGCTCACAGAATGTAGGGGACACACCCGGGGAACCCTTCCGCTTTGTCATCTCCTGAGCTTCACCCTTCAGGGTCGTATTAGATGATCCTGAATGAACATTGGCCCAGTGTGTCTGGCTTTACACAAGCACCCATTTCACGTGTGTGACTGTCCTCTGCCACGGTTTCAGTCTCTTGTGGTTCTGAGGACCACACTCCTTGGATCCGGGTAATGGTAAATGCCTCAGCCCTGATTTGGGTCATGCTGCACGTTCTACTCTAAGGTGTTTCTATTTGCTCTGAATATACTGTTGTTTGTTTCTGAATCCAGGAATGGAAATCTCAGAAAATCAAAAGAAGCTTGCCATGTTGAATGCCCAAAAGACGGGACATGGAAAGTCCAAAGGTAAGTTTCGGAAGGGGCTTTGTCTCCTGGGTGGGTGTTAGTATTGTCATGAAAATAGAGCCGGCGCCGTGGCTCAATAGGCTAATCCTCCACCTTGCGGCGCCGGCACACCGGGTTCTAGTCCCGGTTGGGGCGCTGGATTCTGTCCTGGTTGCCCCTCTTCCAGGCCAGCTCTCTGCTATGGCCAGGGAGTGCAGTGGAGGATGGCCCAGGTGCTTGGGCCCTGCACCCCATGGGAGACCAGGAAAAGCACCTGGCTCCTGGCTCCTGCCAGGATCAGCGCGGTGCGCCGGCTGCAGCGGCGGCCATTGGAGGGTGAACCAACGGCAAAGGAAGACCTTTCTCTCTCTGTCTCTCTCTCTCACTGTCCACTCTGCCTGTCAAAAAAAAAAAAAAAAAAAAGTATTGTCATGAAAATAGAGGAAGGGCCCAAACTGTAAGTCTGTGACCAGCTCCGAGTGAGGGAGAGGAGGAGTAAGGGTGAGACGCCGAAGGGCAGACCCAACCTCATGGACGGGTGACCATAGTCTGCATTTGGTTTTTGAACTTGACATAGAAGATGTCACTGGAGATGGCACCAGAGGATGACAGACCACCCTGTCCTGCCCAGACCTCTGCCCCTCACCTTCCTGAGGGCATGGTAGTGTTACTCACCAGGCCAAGGTCACCAGTCTGAGGCAAACTAAAGACTGTGCCTGGGGCACATTAAGGAATCACCAACCCCAAGCTTCTTGTTGGCTCTGGGCTGGCCACATCCCAGTGTAGGAAGGAAAGAGCCATAAATCCAGCCCATCAGGCAGGGAGATCAACACAGTGGAGACGCACAGGCTAGTTGAGAAGTGGCCGTCTGGCCTCCACACACATCAGAGTAGCCTGGCGTCTGCAGCAGAAGCAGCAAGGCTCGGGCGTGCACGTGGGAGTCCCTGTGCACACAGAGGTCTCCACAGTAGAGACACCGCACAGGCTCTAACCCAGAGGGAATTCAGTAATGGGGATTTTTGTTACAAACATGAGCACGGTATTCCTAGGAACTTTATTCAGATCAACTTTGTAGGCTAGGAAGGATTTGTGCTATGAAAGTGATCCCATGCTGTGTTTTCCTAACTGAAAATGCAAAAAGGAAGACCAGTTAAAGCCCAGGTTGTACTAGGCCATCAGCCAATGGGCTAAGAAGGAGTCATTACCAGACACTTAGCGGCCCCCTGCTTTCTCTGCAAATGCAGATCTTTTCTTCCCTAAGTTGTATCTTCAAGGCAGATAGGCCCATTGTACTATTTTTTTCATGTTTCTGATTTTAATACCCATTTGATTTATCAGTTTCTCTCTGTAATTTCTGAGTCACTCAACAACAGCTGGGCTCCTGGGGAACAGAGGAACACAGATGTTCTTAGGTGACCCCATGCTGGGCAACTTACGTGGGCTGTCTTAGTTCATCCTCTGTGTCACCCCCTGAGTCAAGGGAAGCCTTCTGGCAAGTCAGGTTAGGCTTGGGTTCTGCACCAAGTCCTGTCTGCTTCAAAATCCCCTCTCTTGGGGCCAGTGCTGTGGCTCGGTGGGTTAACACCATCTGCAGTGCTGGCATCCCATACGGATGCCAGTTCATGTCCTGGCTGCTTCATTTCTGATCCAGCTCTCTGCTATGGCCTGAGAAAGCAATAGAAGATGGCCTAAGTACTTGGGCCCTGCACCCACATAGGAGACCCGGAAGAACCGCCAGGCTCCTAGCTTTAGACTGGCCCAGCCCTGTCCTGGTCATCTGGGGAGTGAATCAACAGATGGAAGATTCTCTCTCTTTCTCTCTCTCTCTCTCTCTCTGTAACTCTGACTTTCAAATAAATAAATGTCTTTTAAAAAATGCCCCCCCTTTTTTCAAACTTTTATTTAGTAAATATAATTTTCCAAAGTATAGTTTATGGATTACAATGGCTTCCCCCACCCCATAACTTCCCTCCCACCCACACCCCAAAAATGCCCCCATTCTTCATATCGTGCTGCCACATGCAGTTACCTTTCCATCTTAAACTAATTTCAGTCTATCTCTAATTACCACCACACACATTTAAAATGTCTATTCTGATGAGATGATTTTGTTTAAAGCAATTAGGTAGGGGACCCTTTATTTATTTATTTATTTTTGCCAGGCAGAGTTAGACAGTGAGAGAGAGAGACAGAGAGAGAGTTATAGACAGAGAGACAGAGAGAAAGGTCTTTCTTCCGTTGGTTCACTCCCCTAATGGCCGCTACGGCCGGCGCTGCGCCGATCCAAAGGCAGGAGCCAGGTGCTTCCTCCCGGTCTCCCATGCGGGTGCAGGGACCCAAGCACTTGGGCCATCCTCCACTGCCCTCCCAGGCCACAACAGAGAGCTGGACTGGAAGAGGAGCAACCGGGACTAGTACCTGGCACCCCAACTGGGACTAGACCCTCGGGTACTGGCACCGCAGACGGAGGATTAGCCAAGTGAGCCACAGCGCCGGCCAGGTAGGGGTTCCTTTTGTAAGCTCTTACATTCATTTAATTCTCATAGCAACCTGGTAGGTTCTATGAACCTCCATGTTAGAGATCAGGAAACTGAGGCACCAGGAAATCAAATGATTTCCCCAGTAATTCCAGCTGTGAAGTGGCAGAGTGGGATTTGGGCTGAGGCAGTGTGAACTCCAGGCTTTCACTGGGAGGATTTTCTTGCTTCAGATCCCAACAGGCAGAGCAGTTCCAGTTCTGCCTCACGAGGCCTTCTGGGGCCTCAGTGCCCTTCTTGGCACCTTGACGTCATGGTGCCTTCCCTGCGTGGTCCTGGGAGGATCCAGTGAACTAACCGACCTTAAGTCCCACACGTAGTCTCATCCTAATGCGAATTCCATGATAGCCATTAGGTGTTCTTTTGGATAACGTGTATTAAGAATCAGCTAAGAACTTGGAGTCTTGCCACCTTTTGCTTTGGCGTTGTGGTAGAAGAGTGCCCTTCAGCCTATGTTCTGTCTTCTTCTCCTCTCGAGTCAGGCTACAGCGGATGCCCCGTGGCCCCGCCGCACCAGAACCTGCACCCCATGCACCAGCGCCACGTCACCGTGCCCACCAGCGTGCCCCAGCAGCAGGTCTTTGCCCTGGCAGAGCCCAAGAGGAAGCCCTCGCTCTTCTGGCACACCTTCAATAAGCTCACACCCTTCAGGAAGTGAACACGGGGGCTGCACTTCCCTGGAGGGGGCTGTGAAGAAGAGAACCATTTTGGTTTCTTCTGCAGGAAATGTCTGAGACCCAGTGCTGAAAACTTCTTTCGGGGATCAATGAAGGAGCCGAAGGGCTTGGGCTCCCTTCTGTCTTCGGAGATCCAGCTGCCTTCATGGAAGGGAAGAGAAGGTCATGACGCACCGCTTGTCTGCACCAGAGCCCCCGGGGCCCGCCCAGCAGCCCGTGTCGTGTTCTACAGCGGAGGCCGATGCTGTGGCCCCGGTGAGCCGTGCCAGGCTGAGCGCGCTCCTGCTGCGGTCCGAGCACGTTTCATCCGAAGCAGGGGGTCCCTGGTGGGTCACTGCTGTATTTGATTGTGAAGGGAGTCGTTGACGGAGTCGCTAAGACACTGCTGCTTGCTCTAGCACGTGTCTGGTCACACCGAGAAGGCGAGCTCTTCCTCCCTTCCGTAGTATTAGCGGACCCACAGCTGCAGGGGCCATGGCCGTGGTGTTCCCGGTGTTGTCAGCTGCCACGTGTGCAGGATCTGTCTTGCAGGGCTGATCCTCACAGGCTGAGGAGGGACACCTGTGGCCACAGCCACCCTGCAGCGTGGCCTGCAGTGCAGGGGTGGAAGCTCCCTCCTGATTCTGCTGCCAGGAGCGGGAGCGAGAATCCTGCTGCAGGCAGCCCGGCACGTCCTTCTCAAACCAGGTCCTCACCTGCCCGAGTGCCTTGTGTAACTCCACGAGCCAGAGTCACTGAGAAACCCCGACTCCTGCAGCTGGTGGCCACGGAAAGGCCTGTTTACCTTCCCTCTTGTGACAGCAAGCACGGAAGCACTCTGGTTGGAAGATACCCGTAAAGAGCATCCTCTGCTTCTTCCTGTGCTTGCTTCTGGCGTCCTTGCTGGCTGATGAAGTTACAAACACGCAGACTTTCCATGGAGAAAACACGAGGGGCACAGCCGTCCCGCCGCCCAGGGGTTGAAGCTGCCTTTCTCATGTCAGCCCCGGACAGGAGTGCATAGCCGTGCCGTCATTATGTCAGCGGATTCCTGAAAATCCATTCCTTATAGAGAGACCTCGACCAAATACCTCGGCTCAGAGAGAGCAGTCTTTGCTAACGAAGGCCACGCGGGGCTGGTGCCTGCAGGTAATAGTCTCCTTTTCTGGGACCATATTGTAAAGTTTGCAGAACACATGTTTTAAATACGCGTGGAGAAGACAGGCTGAATCAGAGAGAGAAGCTGTTTCCCTTCCCCCCAGGCATGCTGGATCGGGAGGGGAATGTGTTGCAGTTTGTTTGCGTTTGACAAGCCCCATTTTTTGTATGTTGCTCTTGCAGAGTTCCTTTTTCTAACAGGCCCCTGTGTGCGAATAAACAAACCTTCAGTGTCCAACAGAGGTGTAGTCTTCCGTCTCCAGGGGTGCTGTTCCTCCATTCTCCCTGCCTTTCCCCATATCCAGAGCTGTTCCTGGAGGAGGTAACATCACGTGTCAAATGCGTCAAGAAAACATAACCCTGGGCCTCTCTGCTGGGCCCCTGGAGCACTGTGTGACTGTGCGTGACCCTGTGTCGCCTGGGAATGCCTGCCTGCGGCAGCAGTGCTGAGAGAGTCCCGTGCCCCGTGGCAAGCCGCCCTAGGGTTGCCTCTGTGGCCCCTCATGCTACAAGTTGCTGCATGAGGAAGGTTTTTGGGAGGTGCCGTGGCTTCCCCCGCATTTGCCCCTGTGGGTGGCTGTGCGTTTCCCAATAGACGGCTCAGCTGTAGCTGCATTTATAGAACTGACCTTTTTACTAACAAAGGGTAATGATGCATTTTGGAAACGGCACTTACTGATTTTTTGGACACCTCAGCAGTAACTGTAGGAGTCTGTGTGCTACATGGAGTTGCTTGTACATATGTACAGCAGTTCTCAACAGTGTTGTGTAATGTAATATAAGAGAATTGCTTTAAGGAAGCAGAGATCCTTCGCTTACGTTACATTTTCAGCGAGAACTCAATTTCAGTAAAGAAACACCCTGAGGGTTTCCATTTCCTGCTGTGTACTATCAGGCTGATGAAGAAATGCTTTAAGTTTTGTAACCAGTCCTAATTTATTTCCCAGTCGAGCCCTGACTTCCTGTTCCCACCTACCTCCGTGGACTTCCTGACAGAGGATTGTGAATATCAGGACATGTTTTCAGAAAATCAGGTTCAGTTGTCCAGAATTGTCCAGTCAGCTTTATACGGTGTGAGAGTCACTTGATCAAATGTCTGTCCTGGGTAGACCCTACCTGGATTTTCAGGCCATTTTGAAATCTGTTAACATTTTTAAAAGGATACACCATCCTTTGACTTTCTGAAAATCTTTATGTCTAGCTTAGATTTTTCTTAGTGAATACTTGAGTTCTACAAAGAATAGAAGACTCAACTATCCTCACTTTTCTTTTGCTGAACTTCCTTATTTAAGTCACAGGTTCCCCTTGGAAAGAAACAAACAGCCCCTACATGAATTGTGGGTGCAGTCTCTCCTCTCCTCTCCTCTCTCCTCTCTCCTCCTGTCTCATTTTAACCCTATGTTCCTTAATATGAGTGAGCTAAAAAAAATGGCTCAATCTTTTGATGCATTTCACCTATCTTTCACATTTCAGAATCTGCCCACTCTGTTGACAGACAGTTGAAATGGCCTTGGATCACAAGCAGCCTTCTCCATGTTGGTCATACCTAAAGTGTGTCACTGCCCTGCAGGAGACGCTAAGCAGTCATCCAAGGGAATATTCGCAATGTTCTCTGGAGAGTAAGCACTGTCTGTCTCTGACCTGCAAACTAAAAAGAGGAGAAGTGATTTACCAGAGCTTTCATGATGATAACCATCCACACAGCTTTCGTTAGATCAGTCTTTTGTCTCCCACTTGAGTATCTGATTTCATTGTCAGAAACATTTTACCAACATCTAGTGCTATTTCTGAATATTGTGCCTTTTTGTGCCTATTTCAGCTGAAGACTGTTCAGTACTGTTGTCTAGACAGAAAGCAAACATATGCTTAATTCAAAACTCTGCTCCCATAGACACCTTCTGTAGAAGCCCAGGTGACCCAGCATTTTACCAAGTGGAAGTTTCTGTACACTGAAATTCCTGCTGTTCTTCAGGACACTTCTACCCAGCTTCCGAGGCAGAGAGAACAGCCTGCTCACCTGGGTTGAGGGGGAGATTTCTGCAGAATGACTGCATCAAGGGGAAGAGAAACAGAGACGTGTCCCTCGCAGCGCAGTGCCCACAGTGAGAACAGGTGCCCTTTCAATAGCGCACAGGCCCAGGATGCTGCACTCAGCCCCACTGTAGGCTTAAACCAGAAGCAGAAAATTGCCCCCTCATCCCCCTCATCGCAGCCTCGAAATTGCTGTCTTTGTGCAGCCTCACCTGGCTAATGCTGTTTGTTTTCAGGATGCAGTGAAAGTGGAGCTCAAAAGACTTCAGGAAGAACTAAGTGCAAGCTAGCTGGTCTTGACCAAAAAAGAAGCCTAAGTATTCGATGTAAATTTATTTAGCTACAAATACTTTTCATTGTTGCCTGCCTGTAATTATCTCATAGGCATTGACATTTGTATATAGAAAAGGCTTTTAACAGATTCATTAATTTAATAATTGGTCTTTTTTGTAAATATTAGCATCCATTGTGTGTGACTTGCTGACCTATTTGGCAAGACTTATTAGTAACTTTTTAACTCAGCGACATCAAGATGATGTTCTTTGTAAAAGTGGGAACTTCCACAATGATGAACTAGCTGTTGACAGCTGAACTAGGGTGTACAAGATTGCTGTAACTTGATATGTATTTTTGTTGAATGAGGATTTTGTAAAAAAAAAAAAAATGTTATTTGAATGATTTCTTGTAAATGCTGTGAATCTATATTTGTTGTTCTGTATATTAAAAATCATTTGCCAAACTGCTTCTGGTTACAATGTGTTTGAGTAGTAAGGGAGGTTAGAGCAAGAGAAGCAGGGAGTGCTTGCCGGGAAAGGCCGGGACTTGCTGATCTTTGCCTGCCCTGCTGTCTTTGGATAACCTTTTTGCGTCACAAGCCATCCATGAATGAGCTGGTCAGACCCTGCGTGGGGGCTGGGCTGGGCACTTGAAGCAAGCTCTGTAAACAGAACCGGAAGTGAGAGGTCTTCGATTGTAGCAGCAGCTTTGCTATCCATGGTGGAGGGCAGATAGAATTTGCCTTTATGCCCCTTTGGACCCCAAAGCTGTGGGCGGGACCCTCCAGTAGGACGTTGGCCAGTGTCCAGGGGCTCTCTTACTTTTGGGAGTGGGGTAGAAAAGAATTTCCTCCGCTAATTAACAGTTCGGAAAAGCGGAGTAAACAGCCCATTGTTTGCTGTGACTGTAATCAGAAAAGGGTTCCTATAAAGGTTTCTGAGCCAGGACTTCCAGTGTGGCCTGGCCCGCCCCTTCCTGGGCTGGTCTGAGAGCTCTGGAAACCGAACGGTGCCCCGAGATGGAGTCCTATATAGCAAAGAGTGGAGAAAGGTAGATGGCAGTGGCGATTTCTTCTAGAAGGCTGGTGGGGCAGATGAAGAGAGGCCAAGCATCAATGTGTCAGTCCCTGTACAGAATGAGTGGTACAGGCAAGCAACAGCACAGAGAGGGAGTGAAATTCACTAACTGGACAGGGCTGGAGGTGTGTCACAGCTGTGCAGAACGTGCAGACAGGGAGGCCCTGGTTTGCTGGGCATGGGGGCACGGATGACCCCATGGGACTGGCAGAGCTAGGCAAGGCCCTGCAGAGACTCGGGGTCTCAATGTGGCTGGGTTTGAAGTGGGAGCCCACGATGGTGAGGACGGGGCCCTGCAGCCAGGTGGGGTGTGGGGCATTTCCTTCTGCAACAGCAGGATCCAGGCTGCTGGGACCAGCTTTGTCCACTGGGGAGCCTGCAGGTGGCAGTGAAGATGTGGGGGCCTTTGGGGTGGGGGAAGATAGGGGTGCATGGAGGCTGGGGCCACAGTCTTCAGTGAGCAGGTGAAGATGGTTGGGAGGTGGAGCCTCCCGTCCCCACCACGATGGGAAGAGACCTTGTCGTGCCCTTGGACCTCCTGGTGAGGGAGTGGAGGCGCTGTGAGGGGAGCCAGAGAGGCGGCCTGCCATCCCTGTTACCCGTGTGCCTTCTACAGCTGGGCTCAGTCCTCCTCACGCCCCTGAGATGCCACGTTGGGGACCTTCGGCCTCTTGAAGCTGGGTTTCAAGTTTCAGTTGAGAGACACCCAGGAGCGTGCCTGCAGGGCGCTGGAAGCATGGTGGCACCAGGGTGGAGTGGGCCCTCTGTCCTCACCTGCACACGTGCCACACGCAAGTCTAAACACCCCAGTTAGGGGACAGAGCCTACTGGGCCAACATCCAGTCTGGTGTCCTGCTGCTCCACAGCTGAGAGGCGCAGGGAGTCCCACCTCCAGACGCCACTCAAAAGAACACCTGCAGTTCCCTCCTTTGATGAACAGGGACCACAACAAACCAAAAAATGAAGGGTTCTGGGAGGAGATGCTCCTGACGCACGTGTGGCTGTGAGTTCTGCAGCCCTGCCCCTGTCCCTCCCCTTCCTGCTGTTTTGCACACAGAGCCACTAGGGACTTGGTGTGGCGGGAAGGCTGTACTTCTTCAGTTTGCCCTGGATTCCTGGTCCGCACTACACCTGGGTCCAGCCTGCAGCCCTGGGGATCAGGTAGGTGTGTTAAGCGAAGACTTTACATTCCATGGAAGGGATCTGACTCCTAAAACAGCACTTAGCTTAGCAGTGAGTGAGAATCCTGCTTAATGATTTGTGAAATCGATTTCTGCAGTTTGGGAGAGGAAAATGGTAACTGAGCTGGTTCCAACATTCATTCCTGAGGAGGAAGCTGATTTTGAGATTTGTTTTGCGGAATCTGCAGGCTGGCCAGGAGGAGGAATGAAAGCATAGAAAGAAGAACCTTTCTAGAGAGCTTCCTGGAGAAGCGTCTAGAAAATAACCTACAGGTCATTTTGCACAGTTTTCAAGGTACCCACTTTGATGTTTATGGCTATATTAATTTACACGGTGTACTTTAACAAATACTTCTTCTGATTTACAGAAAAAGTGTCCAATGTATCAATAGAAGAAAATATACAGGGAGACTTCAGAAAAGTTCATAGAAAAAAGATGTTTATTGCCAAGAGTTTTGAAGTCCATGTAGAGTTCTTTCACAATACTAGTTTTTCATGAACTTTTTGGGCAGATTATTTATTTGAGAGACAAAGAGCTGTTATTGGTTGGTTCATTCCCCAAACGCCAGCAACGTCCAGGGCTGGGCCAAGCTATAGCTGGGAGCTAGGAGCTGGGAACTCAATCCAGGTCTCCCACATGGGCAGCAGGCACCCAACCACTTGAGCTGTCACCTGTTGCCTCCCACAATCTGGAGTAGGAAGGCAGAGTCAGGAATCCATCCAGGCACTCTAATGTGGAGGACAATGTCTTAACCAGTGATTTAACTGCTAGACTAAATGCTTGGGCTTCATGAATATACTTAGTTGCTTTTATTTATTTGAAAGTCAGAGAGATAGGGATCTTCCATCTGCTGGTTCACGCCCCCAAATGCCCACAACAGCCAGGGCTGGGCATGGCAGTCAAACGTAGGAAGGAGGAAGGTTGAGGTGTTAGTTTATCTCTCCAATCTTCCGCACAAGGAAATGAGCCTCGATAGAGATTGCTCAGCTGGGTTTTGGCAGGTCTGCGTAAAATCTTAGTTTGGGGAGATAGCATTTTGGAGTGGAAACCCTCATCCTTGGCTGAGAATTACAGAAAATTAATCAGGCGGGGCACGTGTGATCGTTTATCGAGAGATGGAACAGTGAAGCAGAAATACAGTAAATAGGAGGGAAAGAACCCAGAAATAAGGTGTTAACCAAGTCAGAACGTGTTGTGTTCAGAACTGAAACTCAGTGACTCCAAAGACATTTGCAGCCTGCCTCCCTCTGCCTCCCTCTGCCCGACCCGCGCCTGTGCATCAGGTGCACCTCAGCCCTCAGCAGAGTGACCGCTTTGTTCCCTCCCCCTGACTTGTCTGGGGCACTCACAGTCCCAGAATGGTCATAAGCACAGCGAGTCCTCAGCCTCTGCATTTGGGCTGAGTGAGGAGGTGATGAGTGGCCACACCCTGCGCAGCAGAGGTTAGGATGCCGTTAGGATGGGGACTTAGCTGTGTGTCATTGAGGAAAGTGAAGTGTGTTCAGTTCATCAGGACCATTTGCTGAAGCCCGTCTGTGTTCTCACCCACAGTGTGAGCAAGCGAGGTAGACTCTATCAAGTATGCAGAAGTAGTGAAGGAAGGATGAAGGGAGACGTGTTTGCTTTTACGTAACCTCGTATTTTGCTGGAGAACAAAACAGTTTATGCTGACCCGACTCCTTATGGTCTTGTGATCTTTTTAATACTGGAATAATTGTATCGCACGTGTTGAAAGGCTGGAAATATTCATAAGGTCCTCAACAGAGGTTGTGTGGTGAACTTCAGATTTGGCTCCCACGGTCATTTCTGAGTTAACTCCAGGAGACAGGTGTAGATTGCTCATGGAATTTGTCTCTAAGGAGATTCAACTCCGTTTCTGGAAACAGAGTGAGGTTGTGGCTTCAGAGGGAAACATCTGCATTTCCTTTTCCTAAAATGCTCTTCGCATTACACTGCACCCTGTGATACTTAGAGGTCCCCATGAGATGGCGATGTCATCCTTTGGATGACCATCAGGCAGGTTCAAAAATATGTATCTGGAAATGTGTTTATCAGTACTGTGAGAATGGCATTTTTGTTTTTTATTTATTTGACAGGTAGAGTTATAGACAGTGAGAGAGAGAGACAGAGAAAGGTCTTCCTTCCATTGGTTCACTCCCCAGATGGCCGCTACAGCCGGCGCTGCACTGGTCCAAAGCCAGGAGCCAGGTGCCTCTTCCTGGTCTCCCAGGAAGGTGAAGGGGCCCAAGCACTTGGGCCATTCTCCACTGCCCTCCTGGGCCACGGCAGAGAGCTGGACTGGAAGAGGAGCAGCCAGGACTAGAACCCGGCGCCCATATGGGATGCTGGGGCCGCAGGCAGAGCCATGGCACCAGCCCAAGAATGGCATTTGTTAAGAAGGAAAAGTTCCCCCATCTCAACATCCTAAAGCGACTGTGCTCATCTGAAACTATTTGCTTCTAGTTTTTGTCAACATGAATCTCTTAAGAAGTACATTCATGACATGCATCTTAGACAACTTTTAAAATTCAGCACAGCATACATATTATTTTAAAGATTTATTTATTTGTGGCCAGCGCCACGGCTCAATAGGCTAATCCTCCACCTGCAGCGCTGGCACCCCGGGTTCTAGTCCTGGTCGGGGCGCCAGATTCTGTCCCGGTTGCCCCTCTTCCAGGCCAGCTCTCTGCTGTGGCCAGGGAGTGCAGTGGAGGATGGCCCAAGTGTTTGGGCCCTGCACCTGCATGGGAGACCAGGAGAGGCGCCTGGCTCCTGGCTTCGGATCAGCGCAGTGCACTGGCCGCAGCGCAACGGCAGCGGAGGCCACTGGGGGGTGAACCAACGGCAAAGGAAGACCTTTCTCTCTCTCTGTCTCTCTCTGTCTCTCTCACTGTCCACTCTGCCTGTCAAAAAAAAAAAAAATTTATTTATTTGAAAGAGTGACAGAGAAGGGAAGAGACCGCGAGGTATAGAGACCTTCCATATTCTGGCTCACTCTCCCAAAAAGCTGCAACAGTCAGGGCTGGGCCAGGCTGAAGCCAGGAGCCAGGAACTCCATCCAGATCTCCCACATGGGTGGCAAGGGCCCAAGGACTTGGATCATCTTCCTCTGCTTTCCCAGGCACATTAGCAGAGAACTGAATTGGAAGTGGAGCAGCCAGGACTTGAACTGGGGCTCTTATGGGATGCCAGCATTGCAGGTGGCAGCTTAACCCACTGTGCAGCTATGCCAGCCCCACAACAGGCATATTTGGCACAGTTCACATGAACTTCACATGGCACTCTTCAACAAGAAGCACCAGAGACAAGTTTTGGTGACCATGTCTGCTTTATTAACGACCAAGCACACCTTTTAAAGGGCAGGCAGAAGGGGCGTGACTAATTCAGGGCAGCACTAACTTTATAGGATAGAACTCATATTGGCGCTGCTATGCCTCTCCAATCAGCTTGAAGGTCACATAGGTAACTTTCCTGATGGGCCTAGGTACACCCGGGTGCAGTTTCCCTGATCAGCAGAAGGCAGGGCTAGGAGAAATTTGCCTGCAGCTCGCGCTGTGTGCTAGCAGTCGGCCTAACTGCATGGGCTAGGCAAGCAGTTTCACGGGATCACCCACATTTTTTAAAAAAAAGATTTTATTTATGTATCTGAGAGGTAAGTTACAGACAGAGAGAAAGATCTTCCAACCGCTGGTTCACTCCCCAAATGGCTGTAATGGCTAGAGCTGGGTTGATCCGAAGCCAGAAGCCAGGATCTTCCTCCTGGTCTCCCATGTGGGTGCGGGGGCCCACACACTTGGGCCATCCTCCACTGCTTTCCCAAGCCATAAGCAGAGAGCTGGATCAGAAGTGGAGCAGCGGCGCCGCGGCTCACTAGGCTAATCCTCCGCCTGTGGCACCCCATGTTCTAGTCCTGGTTGGGGCACCGGATTCTGTCCCAGTTGCCCCTCTTCCAGGCCAGCTCTCTGCTGTGGCCCGGGAGTGCAGTGGAGGATGGCCCAAGTGCTTGGGCCCTGCACCCACGTGGGAGACCAGGAGAAGCACCTGGCTCCTGGCTTCGGATCGGCGCGGTGCGCCAGCCACAGCGCACTGGCCGTAGCAGCCATTGGGGGGTGATCCAATGGAAAAAGGAAGACTTTTCTCTCTGTCTCTCTCACTGTCCACTCTGCCTGTCAAAAGAAGGAGGAGGAGGAGGGGGAGGGGGGGAGGAGGAGGAGGAGGAGGTGGAGGAGGAGAGCAGCCAGGACATGAACCGGTGCCCATATGGGATGCCAGAGCTGCAGACAGAGGCTTAACCTACTACACCACAGCGCCAGCCCCCTAATCTCATCTTTTGATTCCAGTTTCCCATGAACTTTTTGAAGGATCCTCATATTAAGTACTGGGAATACAATAATAAGGAAAAATAGTCAGGTGAGAAGCCAGATTTACACAAACAAATGCAAAGCTCCTTCCACGGCGGTTAGCCTGAGAGAGCAGGACATGGTGCTCTGGGCGTCTTAATGGATAACCATGGCCAGATCAGGAAGTCCCACTAACCCCTGGGGGCTTGCATGTTGCTATTCCCTTTGTTTGGACCCTTCCCAGGTGTCATCTTAGCTCCTGATGAGGTCAGAAAGCAAATCAGCCACCACGAGGGGGAGGAGACAGTGCTAAAGGGGAAAGGACTTAATGTACTTCTCCCAAACCATAAAGTTCTCTTTCTTCCATCTTATGGTTCACTCCCCAAATTGCTTCCATGGCTGGGGCTGGGCCAGGCTGAAGGCAGAAGTCAGGAACTCTATCCAGGTCTCCCATGTGGGTGGCAGGGGTCCAAACACTTGGGCCATCTTCCCCTGCTTTTCCCAGGCCATTCGAAGGGAGCTGGATCGGAAGTGGAGCACCCAGGACTCAAATTGGTGCTCATATTGGTTGCCAGCATTGCAGGCTGTGGCTTAACCCACTGCGCAGACCTGATTGTAACCTCTTGTGTGTGTACAGCTGTGTGTATGTGTGCATATGCACTCATGTATGTGTGTTCCTTTTTTCACAATGGCCTCCCATTGTGAAAAAGAAGACTTTAATGCAAAGAATATTATCCAATCGTAGTAAAATATGCATAGCATAAATTTATTTTTTATTTTTTTGACAGGCAGAGTTAGTGAGAGACAGAGAGACAGAGAGACAGAGAAAGGTCTTCCTTCCGTTGGTTCACCCCCCAAATGGTCGCTACAGCCAGCACACTGCGCCAATCCGAAGCCAGGAGTCAGGTGCTTCCTCTGGTCTCCCATGCGGGTTCAGGGACCCAAGCACTTGGGCCATCCTCCACTGCCTTCCCGGGCCACGGCAGAGAGCTGGACTGGAAGAGGAGCAACTGGGAGAGAATCTGGCACCCCGACCGGGAGTAGAACCCGTGGTGCTGGCACCTCAGGTGGAGAATTTATTATTTATTTATTATTTTTTTTTATTTTTTTGACAGGCAGAATGGACAGTGAGAGAGAGAGAGAGAGAGACAGAGAGAAAGGTCTTCCTTTTGCTGTTGGTTCACCCCCCAGTGGCCGCTGCAGCCGGCGCGCTGCAGCCAGCGCACCGCACTGATCCGATGGTAGGAGCCAGGTACTTCTCCTGGTCTCCCATGGGTGCAGGGCCCAAGCACTTGGGCCATCCTCCACTGCACTCCCTGGCCACAGCAGAGAGCTGTCCTGTAAGAGGGGCAACTGGGACAGAATCCAGCACCCCAACCGGGACTAGAACCCGGTGTACCAGCGCCACAAGGCGGAGCATTAGCCTAGTGAGCCGCGGCGCCGGCCTCAGGTGGAGGATTAACCAAGTGCGCCACGGTACCGGCCAATAGCATGAATTTATAATTTTTTTAAAGATTTACTTATTTATTTCAAAATCAGAGAGAGGGAAAAACAGAGAGAGAGAGAGAGGTCTTCCATCTGTTGGTTCCCTCCCCAGATGGCCACAATGGCCAGGATTGAGCCAGGCCAAAGCCAGGAGCCAGGAGTTTTATCCGGATCTCCACACATCCTCTGTTGCTTTTCCCAGGCCATTAGCAGAGAGCTGGATCAGAGGTGGAACAGCTGGGACTCAAACCGGAGCCTCTTTGGGATGCTGGTATGGCAGGTGGCGGCTTTATCCCCTACGCCACAATGCTGGTCTCTAAATTTATCATTTTAACCATTTTAAGTGTACAGTTCAGTGGCATTAAATACATTCCTATTTTTAGGTAACAATCACCACTGTCTATCTCTAGAATTTTTTCATTGTCCCTGATTGAATCTATGTCCCCACTAAGCAACTCGCCATGTCCCCTTCTTCCAAGGGACATATCATTCTAGTTTCTGTCAATGGATTTGACTGCTCTGAGTATCTCATGTAAGTGCAATCATTCCATATTTGACTTTTGGTAACTGGCGTAGTTCACTTAGCACAGGGTCCTTAAAGCTCATCTGTGTGCCCTCATGGGTCAGAATTCCTGTCTCTTTTAAGGCTGAGAAATACTCCACTGGGCATTTACACCTTGTGTTTATCCAGGCATCCACTGACGGGCACCTGGATTATTTCCTCTCTTTGGCTGCTATGCGTGATGCTGCTGCAAACACGGGTGTTCTGTTGGAGTCTCAGGGGGCCTTGGTGTTTGTTTGTTTGTTTGTTTGTTTGTTTTTGAGTGTATCCCTGGAAGTGGAATTGGTGGATCCCGTGGTGATTCTGTTTGCTATGTAGAAAGTGCTTTTGTGTGCCTTGTGATCAAAATTGGCCTTTCCGGCAACCGTAGGAGGTAAGTAAGCTTTCAGCTGCTCCTCTGGCTCCAAGAAATGGTTGCCCACAGTGAACGAGTCCATAGGTGAGTATTATCCTCGCCTCAAACTCTGCTTCCTCATTGGTCGGTCACCACGAAGTCGGATCCCAGTCAGGTGTCTTATCTCCTCGGGAAAATGTCCTGGGTATAAGCAGCTGGTCACTCCCACTGTCCACCCTCACCGTGTGCCCTGACCATTCTGTCTTTGTTGGACCGAGTGTGGAGCCTTTGCCCTCTGCAAGGAGCAGAGGCTGCGTCCACGGCCCCCATGGAACCCCAAGGTTCCTGCTTTCAGTCTGTGTCTCCCTCTTCCAGTTCAGACCTGGTCACCTGAACCATGAGGATCTGGTGGCTCCTGCTTGTCACTGGAGTCTGCACGGGGAGTGTAAGCTCGCAGGACGCGTGCAGGCAAGGACACCCTGGCATCCCTGGGAGTCCCGGTCACAACGGACTGCCTGGACGAGATGGACGAGATGGAGCCAAGGGTGACAAAGGGGATGCAGGTACGCCCCGCCGCGGCCTCTGCTGCTCTGCCGCTCACCCTTCATCACTTTTATCTCAGTAACGCATTCATCATCGGTGCGGGGCCCACCCACCCACTCACTCTCATTCATCCACCCACCCATGTGCTCGGCCAACAGCCAGTAAGTCAGATTTTGTGCTCGGTACAGGGGCGGACTCAGGACAAGGCTGGCATGACCCAGCCCTCGTGGGCCTTCTCATCTGGTGGGGATAGCTGTTTGTTAGCCCTCACTTTGACACCACAAGGCATCCGCCATGGTGCAGCCATCTCTCCACAGCGGCTAAACACAGACTAAAACTATTTGGGGAAAAATAGCTTTTGTACTAAATATCTAAACATTTTTTCTTGTCTTTATTCCCTAAACATTATGACATAACAACTATTTACCTAGCATTTACATTGGAGTAGGTGTTATAAGTCATGTAGGGATTATTTACAGTCTACAGGAGAGGGGCCAGCATTGTGGTATAGCGGGTTAAGCTGTTGTCTATGGCACTGGCATCCCACATGGGCACTGGTTTGTGTCCTGGCTGCTCTACTTCCAATCTAGCTCCCCGCTGATGTGCCTGGGAAAACAGTGGAAGAGGGCCCAACTGCTTGGGCCCTCTGCACTCACATGGGCGAACTTGAAGCCTTCAGCCTGACCCCTAGCCCTGGCTGTTGTAGCCATTTGAAGAGTGAACCAGGGGATAGAAGATCTCTGTCTGTCTCTCCCTCTCTCTCTATATATAAAACTCTTGTTTTTAAATAAATAAATAAATCTTTTAAAAATTAAAAATAAAATATCCATGCCAGAATGTACACAGGTCCTATCCAAAGACTACACCAGTTTTATACAAGGGTGTCGACCATTTGCAGATTTGGGTGTCCCAGGAGGTCCTGGGACCAGTCCCCTGTGGATATGGAGGAGCAGCAATATCTGATGTCATAGCTCTTCCTGCTCCAGGCAACAGGTAGGATGGATCTTTGGCCACATGAGCTGAAATCAGAATGGGAGGCGGATGCCTGGTGAGTTCCCCTCAGCGCCCTCACAAAATCGCCCTTGTTTGGCCAGGACGGACGGGCCATCGTCCCGCTGGACAGGGACTCACTGGGGAAGCGTCCTGCGGGTTTTTCTGGGAAAGCTTCGGCTGGCTGACCTGCTCAAAACACTCATACTAAACAAACGCGACTGGTCCTGGCGCTCCAGAAAGTCATCAAGCGAAATGCTCGAGCATCCCCAGGGCCTGTTGCCACAGCCTTTGCTCCGGACTGGTCCACCTTGGCTCTGACTGCACCACTGCCGCCTCCTGCCTCCCCCTCCTCCGCCATCTTTTTAAAGCTATTCTTCTCTTTTTTTAATATTTTATTTATTTATTTGAGAGGGAGAGACAGAGAGAGAGGTCGTCCATGCACTGGTTCACTCCCCAAATGACCACGATGGCTGGAGCTGAGCTGCTCTGAAGCCAGGAGCCAGGAGCTTCTTCCAGGTCTCCCACATGGGTGCAGGGGCCCAAGCACTTGGGCCATCTTCTACTGCTTTCCCAGGCCACAGCAGAGAGCTGGATCGGAAGTGGAGCAGCTGGGACTCGAACCAGTGCCCATATGGGATGCCAGCACTGCAGGCGGCGGCTTTACCCACTATACCACAGCGCCGGCCTCTTAAGCAGAAGTCTTACTGCTTGTGGTTCTAACAAGTTACTGTGAATTTGTTGATGTGCCAAAAATACTTTGAAATTCACACATGGCTTTTTCATAATATGTATTTTCCACGAGCTTTATGGAGACCCCCTTGTATTTGATAAAAATACATATGCTATATTTTAAATATATATATATAATATTTCTTAGTATGATAATCACATTGCTCATACTAAAAAGTCCCTTAATCTTATCCCCTTCAAATGTGTTTATCTGTATGTTTCACAAGAAACGCATCTGTGATACGATACCTGTGCCGAGTTTAGAAACAGAGACGTGTCATGGGTTAGGAGGCGTTCTTATACTTTGCTACTCGGGCTGCGTGCTCATGGGCATTTGGAGGCCACAGCTCTTGAGAAGGAAGAACTTGAAGTAAGCAGGGAAACCACAATGAGATCAGGAGAGGCAGCTTTAAACTTCCGCTGTGGCCTAGTGCAGGTTATGGGGATGCACAGATGAAGAGGAAGCACACCTAGGGATGACTGCGGGCGCACTGGCTCCCCAGCTGCCAAGAGATCAAGCAGCCAGAGATTGTGATGGAGATGCCTCCGTCTTGTCGATCCTGTCCTGGGACCTGCCCCCGTATCTCACAGCCCAGTCATGGGGCTGAAGTATGGGGGGCTCTACTGCTTTTGGGGGAAGTCAGACTCCGGGGTGAACTATGGCCTCATGAGCTCTTCAGCACCAGGGCCAGAGCCGCCTCCTGTGCGACTCTGTCAGGCGAAGCAAGAGCTCGGGGTCCAGGGAGATCCACACATGGTCAGCAGAGCCACACAGGTGTTCCCGTGGGCTCTCCCAACGCCAACACAATCAGGGGCTTTTGCCACCGCTCTGTGGTTCCAAAGAGATCTTTTCAGAGCCCTCCCTTCTGCCCCAGATAGCTTCAGGTACCAAAGTCACCTGTTTCGCAGGAGGCTGAGAACTGCCAGTCCACTCTCCACGGGAATGCTGGAAAAGGCGCAGAAAGCCTCCGAGGTACAAATCACTTCCTTTGTCCTCGTCACAGGAAGGAAGTGCGGCCGTGACCACCAGCACGGCCTGAGCACACGGGGACTCCCCTCTCATCCTGCTGCAGAGCGCTGGGCAAGTCCCCAGCTGATTGGCTCCCTCCCTCGGCTGCACGGCCCACAGCCTGATGCACGCTTCTGCTTGCCTTTCTCCGAGTGTCCTGGTGTGAACAGGGAGCGCTCGCAGGGCTCGGGCCACCCCTGGACTCTCCAGCATGCATCACTCATGGAGGAGTCCAGTGGCCAGAAAACTGGGAATTGAAATGTCAACTATTTTCTGTTTTCTTCCTCCCCACCTAGGAGAACCAGGACATCCTGGCAGCCCGGGGAAGGAAGGAAGGAGCGGAGAGAAAGGAGACCGAGGTCAGAGCTGGCTTCTTCTTGGCCCCGCTCCAAGTCCTGAGCTATCAAGGATCTCACAGCAGTTGTTAAGTGCGATCCAGCACGGCTCTTGCTCTCTGGAAGTTCATGACTAGTGCAGGAATTGGCCAACTTGTCCTGTAAAGGGCCAGAGGCTAAACATTTTTGGTTTGCAAGCCCTGTTGGATCGGTCACTGCTCCTCAGCTCTGCTACCGTGACAGAAGCAGCTGTAGATGTTGCCTTTGTAAGCCTGGCTGTGTGCCAGTGATGCTGGCTGTGTGAAGACTGATATTTCAATTTCCCGTAATTCTCACATATCCCAGAATATTATTTGTGACCATTTAAGTGGGGGAAACCATTCTTAGCTTGTGGGCTCTGCCAGACGGGCCGGAGCCTGGAAGTAATCTGTGGGCCATCGTTTGATGAACCCTGAGTCCTCAGGAGTGAGACTGGCTTTTGGCTCGGTGCACCTGGCAGCATGGCCCAGAGAAGGCGGCTCCTGAATTGGGCCATAAGGGACACAGAACACTGGTGTTTGGCGAGTGGTGGAGAGAGAGATGTTGACAATGGTGAGCACAGGTGCTGCTCATGCACTCTGTTCTTGTGTGTGGACTCAACACAGGAGGCCCCCAAACAAGGGGGTGTCATTATCCCAAGTCTGCAGAAGAAGGGACAGAGGTGGTGGAGGCCCATTAGCGGGCCTGACATGCCAGGTGCCTGGGAGGAGCACCAGGATGGAGTCTGGCATGGCACCACAATCCATGCTGGTCACTCCCCGGGCTGGGTGGAGATGCAGGGAAGCCCCTAGTGTGATCAGTAACGCAGCGTAACTGTAGGCAGGCGGGGGCTGGACAGTGGGGAGCAATGAATGCCCTCCGGAAGAGTTCAGCTAGTGTTCACGGCAGAGAGGAACTCATAAGGGGCTGGCACACCCTGGGGATGAGTAGCAGCCACTAGCCGTGCTCTGAATCAGCGCACCTGTCACCGTTCATCCTGCTCCCCAAAGTGCTCACTCTCAGGGACTGGCCTTGTTTGGTAGGCAGCCTGGTACACTCAGATGGTACACAGCTTGTCATTTCTTCCTCTTTCAAAAATTATTTTTATTTGGGGGCCAGAGCAATTCCAGGAAAGAGAGACAGACAAAGCTGCCATCTGTTGATTTCACTCCACAAATGCCTCTAACAGGTGGGGCTGAAGCTGGGAGCTGCGAATGCAATCCAGGTCTCCCACAGGGGTGGCAGGGATCCCATGACGTCAGCCATCACCAGCTGCCTGCCAGGGTCAACATTAACAGGAAGCTGGAGTCAGACCCAGGAACTGAACCCAGATGTAGGACGTGGGCATCCTAACCGGTATCTTAACCACGAGGCCAAATGCCTATCACAAGAGTTGTCATTTTTTAAATGTGAGTAAGTGGATTTGCAAGCCCTGAGCAGGTCCTGAGCAGGTGCATGACCACGCCCCGTGTGTACGCTCAGAGAAAGGGAGGTTGTTCTCAAGCAGATGTTTCACAAGCCTCCCTTTATTCTCTCTTCCTCTGTTTAGGAGCAGATGGAAAAGTCGAAGCAAAAGGGATCAAAGGCGACCAAGGCTCCAGGGGGCCTCCAGGGAAGCATGGGCCAAAGGGATCTGTGGGCCCCATGGGAGAGCCAGGCCTCCAAGGAGAGACCGGCCTGCAAGGGCAGAAGGGGGACAAAGGCGATGTGGGTCCCAGGGGGCCAGAAGGCCTGACCGGCGACCCCGGACCTTTGGGCCCAAATGGCTTACCTGGTCCTGTAGGCCCCATAGGCAAGCCTGGCCCCAAAGGAGAAGCAGGCCCTGTGGGGCCGCAGGGGGAGCCGGGAGTCCGAGGAATAAGGGGCTGGAAGGGAGAGCGAGGAGAAAAAGGGAAAATCGGTGAGACCCCAGTCCTGCCCCGAAGTGCTTTCACCGTGGGACTCACCGTGCTGAGCAAGTTCCCGGCTTCCGACGTGCCCATCAAGTTTGACAGGATCCTCTACAACGAGCTCAACCATTACAACGTAGCCACGGGGAAATTCACCTGCCACGTCGCTGGGGTCTACTACTTCACCTACCACATCACTGTCTTCTCCCGCAACGTTCAGGTATCCCTGGTCAAAAACGGCGTGAAAGTACTGCACACCAAGGACGGCTACATGAGCTCTGAGGACCAGGCCTCCGGCGGCATCGTCCTGGAGCTGAAGCTGGGGGACGAGGTGTGGATGCAGGTGACCGGAGGAGAGCGCTTCAATGGCTTGTTTGCCGATGAGGACGATGACACAACCTTCACCGGCTTCCTTTTGTTCAGCTCCTAAGATGGAGAAGACTTTGTACGTCTGCTTCACTGGCCGGCCGAATCCCCCGGGGGAGGATGCTCTGAGATGGTTTGACTCCATTAATCCTAAAAAAGGGGAAACAGGAAAACTAAAATTGAATCTAAAACTGGGGCTGGCCCTGTGGCACAGAGGGTTAAGCGCCCTCCTGCAGCGCTGGCATCCCATATGAGTGCTGGTTCGAGTCCCAGCTGCTCCACGTCCGCTCTAGGTCTCTGTTAATGCATCTGGGAAAGCAGCGGAAGGTGGCCCAGGTATCTGGGCTCCTGCTACTCACGTGGGAGACCTGGGTGGAGCTCCAGCTCCTGGCTTTGGCCTTGCCTAGCACCAACCCTCAAGGCCATTTGGGGAGTAAGCCAGTGAATGGAAGAGTTCTCTGTTTTCCCCTTTCTCTCTGTAATTCTGCCTTTCAAATAAATCTATCAAACTGAGATTACTAAAACAGATTCTGTGGAAAAGAAAATGTTTGCTCCCCTCCGTGACTACTGAGAGCGTTAAGCTGGGGGTGGTGAGATGCTCCAGTCAGCTGCAGACGCTTCCCGAATGTTCTCTAACATGGACCTTCACTGCCATTCAAGCCAGCCAACCGTCCAGCTTGGGCTGCTGGACCTGATGACATCCGCGAAGGCCCAAAGGCCGCATTCACCGACACCGAGGGTTACAACTTCACTGTATCTTTCTGGGAGGCACAGTTCAACCCACAGCCATCTGCCCCCGTGCCTGCCCCCCAAAGCTGCCCTCCTGTGTCCGCTCCCTTTTCCGTGTGCAAAATACATTCCCCTTATCCCAACATCCCCCCAAAAGTCTAAACTATTTCAACATCAACTCTAAATCCAAAAATCTCATCTGCCTGTCATCAACTTAAAGTCCTAAATCTTGCCCTTTAAGCCACTGAGACCTATTGTATGATTTTCCTCCTGCAGCAAAATTGCTCTCCACTTGGGAATGCGTGCAACCATGAAAGCTACCCGCTTTCACAATTCAGTGAAGGGCCAGGCATAGGGCAGGCAGCCCCATTCCAAGAAGGGATAATTGGAGGATCAAAGGAATCATGAGTTCCTAAGAAGTCCAGAATCCAGCCGCAAAAATTCCATTAGCCTTTTTTTCACTGTGTACCTCGCTAAAAGTTTTAAAATGAGGTACAAAGGAGAGAAGTAGCTACTGGACCAAGATGTCAGAGTTATAGTTAGAAGTGCAGAATAGGGGTGGATTTACTAAGAGAGTAGGTTCAAAGGGAAAGTTTTCCTTCATGACTATAGTGGACATTTCTTGTTTTGTTTCCATTTTGTTTGTTTGAGGGAGAGAGAGAGAGAGAGAATCTCTCCATCTGATGTTCACTCCCCAGATGCCTACAGCAGCCAGGGCTGGACCAAGTATAAGCAAGACGCCTCGAACTCAGTCCAATCCGGGCCTCCCACGTTCGTGGTAGGGACCCAAGTACGGCATTAGCAGGAGGCTGAAATCAGAACAGGAGCTGGGACTTGAATGTAGGCAACTCCAGTATGGGACGTGGGCCTCCCAAGTGGTCTTAACTGCTATATCAAATGCATGCCCTAATGTTTCCTATTTGAATCGACACCATAGATTTCTCTTCCTTCTAGTACAATATCCTAATGTCCACTTTCTGGTCAAGTCTTCCAAATGGTATAAACTTGAATCTCTGGGTCAGGACCGGTGATCAGAACAGCACCTTCCAGCAGCCATGGTGACTTCTGCGAGATGGCACTTGATCCTGTCAGAGAAGCAATGGCACAATTTTGTGCCAAAAAGGGGGGGGGGCCTGCTCTTTGTCAAGTGCAGTCAGAACAGGGAGGATGCAGACTTGAAGCTGACAGCACCCACTTTCTCATCTGCAGAGCTGCAGGATGAAGCCAAGTAGAGCTGGAAATACCCAAGCTACAGTGGTATGACTGGGGTCCCTACATTTCACCTGCTGGGGACCTATTCCCTAACCTGACATGCTGATGGTATTGGGAAGTGGAGCCTTTTGGAGATAGTAGGGTTAGATAAGGTCGTGGGGGTGGGGCTTTATAAGAAGAGGAAGAGAGGCCTGAGCGGGTGCACTTGTTCTGTGTCGCCATACGGTGCCCTCTGCCGTGCTATGACGCAGCACAAGGCCCTCATCAGATGCCGGGCACGTGCTGGCGCCGGCCCTTGCACCTCCCTGTCTCCAGAGCCATGGGTTCAGTAAGTGTCTGTTCTTTACAAATAACTCACTCTGTGGCTTTCAGTTCTAGCAACAGGAAACTGAGGGGGGTACCAGTCCTGATGGCATTGTTCAGGCTTCTAAATCCTGCTGTATCTGTAGCCTGAGTGAGCCCTGGACTATTTTGCTCTGCAGCCAACAATTTGTATGCTTAAACTAGACTGGTGAGGTGGTATTGCTGTTACTGCCACTCATGTCTCAAAAAAAACAAAAAAACAAAAAAACAAAAAACTCAGGTGGTCCAAGGTCCAAGGACAGGGGCAACATGGTACCATGGAAAAAGCCCAGGACTAAGACTTGAGGGATATGGTTGTCCTCGTAGCCGTGACAGAGGAATTTGAAGTTAGCCTTTCTGTGCTCCAGGCACCTGTTGTGCAGTAGTGTGGGAGCTTAATAATTTCATGTGCTCCCAATCTTTCTAATTCTTCAAGTAATTGCATATGCTAAGCTAATATAATAGACTTTTTTTTCTTTTCTTCTTCTTTTTTTTTTTTTTTTTTTTGACTGGCAGAGTTAGATTGTGAGAGAGAGAGAGAGAGACAGAGAAAGGTCTTCCTTCCGTTGATTCACTCCCCAAATGGCCGCCATGGCCAGCGTGCTGTGCTGATCTGAAGCCAGGAGCCAGGTCTGGTCTCCCATGTGGGTGCAGGGTCCAAGCACTTGGGCCATCCTCCTCCACTGCCTTTCCGGGCCACAGCAGAGAGCTGGACTGGAAGAAGAGCAGCCAGAACAGAATCTGGCGCCCTGACTGGGACTAGAACCCGGGTTGCCAGAGCCGCAGGTGGAGGATTAGCCTAGTGAGCCGCGGCGCCGGCCTATAGACTTTTCTACACTAAGCATTTAAACCAAATCATTCCTAAAATTTGCCGAAACAAATAGTCTGCTGGTATCCTTTGAGTCTGAAACAATCATCTTGCCAGAATTTTCTAGTTCCTTATATGATCTGAATGTAAGGGCCGTGCTGTGGCTTACATGTGTCTCCCAAATTTCATGTGTTGAAAACGTAATCTCCAGGGGCTGGTGTTGTAGTGCAGAGGCTTAAGCAGCTGTCTGCAGCACTGGCATCCCAAAAGGACACCAGTTCAAGTCCTGGCTGCTCCACCCAGCTCCCCGCTAATGCGCTCCTTTCTGCCCATTTTCCTGGGTCTCCTGGTTCCCACCCACTCCACCAGCTTCACTTCTGCAGAAATAACAGTTTCAAGGGGCTGGTCCTGGCCCCCTGAGATGCCCGTGGCAGGTCTCTGGGGCACAGCCAGAGCTTGTCCAAGCACAGAGCACTCTGCATTCAAGTCTAGCGTGATTTTTCACTCATTTAAAAGAGACTGGGGCTGATGGAAATTTCCAGAAGTCTTCCCCAAACAGCCTTCTCTTTCATTGTAAGGCCTCCAAACACAATTTCCTAATACATTCCCTCCCTTCTGCCCCATCTTCGTTCACCTGTTGTTAATTGAAGTTTGGCAAAATCGTGTGTGTGTGTGTATTATTTAATTTGAAAGGCAGAGAAAGAGGTCTGTTCTGGCAGTTCACTTCTCAAATGTTTGCAATGGCCAGGGGGTCTCAGTCCGGGTCTCCAATGTGGCAGGAAGCTGGAGTCAAGAGTGAGGGTGTGGGGGGTTTGTGGGGGAATGGGGTGGGAATGGAATCCAGGTACTGACACGAGATGCACATGACCTCACCTCTAGGCTCAAGGCCCACTTCCTGTACTAATTTATATTGTAAATTATTATAATTTTACAAACCCCAATAGACGAAGATTCACGGCTAGTTAATTCACTCTGCTGCACACAACCCTAACTCACATGCACTCACATTGTGGACCATCATTCAAGTGTAGACAGGTGAACTGGACGGACTGACAAGATGGCGTGTCCGCGACCCCGGGTCGGGCCACAGACCTTGTCACTAAGTCATGTCGGGGAAGGCACCAAGAGCTCAGAATGCAAGGCTGCATTCTCTTGGATTCCTGCTTCAGGAAGAATTCGAATGTTTAGTAATAAGACTCTTCTCAATCCCCCGCTAGTCACGTGGGCAGGACCGGCCAACACTCACCGTTCCTTATTCCAGCCACACGGGGGCGTCGTTCACCAGAAGTTGCCTAAAAAGCGGCGGGGTGACGCTCTTGCCCACGTCCTGACGGCCTCGCGCCCTGACCCGGAAGCGCGGGCGTCACGTGGTGCGGCGTGAGCCGCTACCTTGGAAACGCGGAGAGCGTGTGCCCTGCGAGAGCTGCAGCGCGGTGGCCGGGGGCCCCTCTAGCTCCACGATGCTGTGCACCCAGAGGCTGGGCCGCCTCAGCGCCGGAGTAGGGGCTCTGCGGCCCAGGCGAGCAGGCCAGGGCAGCTTCGGAGCCGGGCTCTGGGCCCGGAGGGTCAGCACCAGCTGGTCCCCGGTGGGCGCCGCCTTCAATGTCAAGCCCCAGGGTCTCCGCCTGGACCTGTTCGGCGAGCGCCGGGTGAGCGGCGCCGCAGGAAGCGCCCCTTGTGTCCCCACACTCGGGCGGTCCCCTTATTCTGCGGCCAGCGGCGATCCGGGCAAGGTCGTTTGGGTCTGGGCAGAGCTGGACACCGCACCGTTGTCCGGGGGGCGTATCGTGTGCAGCCCTAGCGACCTTGCGGATAGGGAGCTGGGCGGGGCGGCCTGAGTGAACTTTTCGGCGCAGTGCGGGGTGCAGGGATCGCCTCTGCGGGACCCCCGAGCCTCGGCGCCGCCTGCTGGAGTTGGGTGTTGCTCCCGCTCTCCCGCTGCCTCTGAAGGAAGGGGTCTCCTGCGAGGTCGCAGCCGGTGTCACGTCGTGTCAGCAAGGCCTCGGTGGACCTCGGTGGTGTCGGAGTAACTCCACTGACGCCCGAGGTTTGGGCACCCGATAACCCATTCTTTCAGAACTTTGGACTTCCTTGTTTGCTATATATAAAGACTGATTTATTTGAAAGTCAGAGAGAGAGAGAGAGAAAGGGCTTCCATCCGCTGGTTACTCCCCAGTTGGCCCCAACGGCCTGAGTTGCGCTGATCTGAAGCCAGGAGTCAGGAATTTATATATATACACACATATTTATTTATTTGAAAGGTCAGAGTTACACAGAGAGAGGAGAGGCAGAGAGAGAGAGAGAGAGAGATCCTCCATCTGATGGTTCACTCCCCTATTGGCCATAACAGCTGGAGCTGCACCGATGTGAAGCCAGGAGCCAGGAGTTTCTTCCGGGTCTCCCACGCGGTTGCAGGGGCCCAAGCACTTGGGCCATCCTCCACTGCTATCCCAGGCCACAGCAGAGAGCTGGATCGGAAGTGGAGCAGCCGGACTCGAGCCGGCGTCCCTATGGGTTGCCTGCACTGCTGGTGGTGGCTTTACCCACTAAGCCACAGTGGCGGGCCCTTTGTTTGCTTTTAAGAGCAAAACCCTGTTGCTAGGCGTCTGATTTCCTGGTCATGTTGATTCTTACCCTAGAAAGTGCCTGGATTGACTTTTTTGGTTCTTGTTTTATTTCGGTATCCATTTTGCCTATTTTAGACTGAAGGCTACTTTTTTGCCTTCATAACTAATCTCATTATACCATTGCCTTATAAAGAGTGTAGGAGATAACGCAGGGTGCTAGGCGGTATGTTTTGTATTTTATCTCCATTACTAGCTCTAAGGTTCTCTTTGTGTGAAATTTGCTGCTCCAGTGTCTGTGGCAGTAGATCATGTTGGTATTTGCATGGTTGATGTGAGGGGAGCTACCTGTGGGTACTCAGCAGGAAGACGGGGAGGGTACACCTGGTCCAGGTGGGTGAAATATATAATTATTGCTTTTTCTTCGGTGCATCAAGATTTCAGGTACTGATAATCAGACTTTTGGCTTTTGCCTTGAAAAAATGGTTATGTAGGTAAAAAAAATTCTTGGAAAAAAATTTTTTTTTTTAATTTGAAAGGCAGAGAGAGAGAGCAAGCTTCTGTCTGCTGGGTCACTCCCCAGGTGCCCACAGCAGCGGGAGCTGGGTTCAGACCAAAGCCGGAAACCAAGGCACGCGTTCAGTCTGTGTCTCTCGTGTGGGCGGCAGGGATCCAGGTACCCGAGCCGTCACCTGTTGCCTCCCAGGTGCGCATCGACAGGAAGCTGGAATTAGGAGTGGAGCGGGACTCCAGCCCCGGCGTTCCAGGATGGGATGTGCCAGATGCTTGCCCACGGCGTAGTTTTTTTTTTTTTTTTTTTTTTTTTTTTTTTTTTTTTTTTTTAGCATTATTTGGTAGCTGGAGATTTTAGAATTCCCAGTTGTCTTTCATTTATTTTCTTGATCTTCTTAATGTATTTTGAAGAGAGGTTAACAGCGCAGATTCATGGATCCATTCTTGTGGAAACAGTAGCCTTGTAAGGCCTGGAAGATTTACCTGTTCGTGTTTCCTAAAGTCTTCATCTGAAGTGTCTACGAAGTTAAATCCTCTGCATTTGTTTTCATCACTGAATTCAGCCACGTGTTAGGCAGCTGACTCTAGAGTGGCGGGCACGGTTCCTGCCTCCAGGAGCTTGCCTTGCCGGCACAGGGGACTGTCAGAAACATGGGCTGCAATACGGGAGGTTTGGGCAAGTGTGGCTCAGTGGTGTGCAGAGTAGGAGCAAGTCCTGGCTCTCCCACTGCTCGTTAGTGACCTCACACCTGTTGCTGTATTAATAAAAGGAGAACAGTACTCTCTGTTCTAGCTCCGTGGGATTTAAATGAGAAAATTTATTATATGAGGTATAACATACCTGATGCTGTGCCATAGATGCATGTTAAAATCCCTTCCCCCTGCTTTCTTGAGTGTCCCGGCAAATGATGCAAAAAGTGCTATACTTTCTACCTTAGTACCTGTGTCCATGCCGTGAGCCATGTATTGATTGACATCTCTGTTGTACCTGATGAGACAGTTGAGATCTGTGATGAAAAGTAACTTGGCCTTGGTTGCAAGCTGGTGATTATAGCTGACATGTCAAATGCTTTCTGCATGCCAGCTATTCTGAAAGTTAACAAGTAAAAAAAAGGTTTATTTATAAGTCAGAGCTACATGGGATGGGGGTGTGGAGAGAGAGCTCTACCTGCTATCTGATGGTTCACTCAGCAGATGGCCACAATGGCCTGGGCTGAGCCAGGCCAAAGCCAGGAGCTTCATCTGGGTTTCCCACGTGGATGGCAGAGTCCCAGGCACTTGGGCCATTAGTAGAGCAGCCAGGACTCAAACTGGTACCCATATGGGATGCCAGCACTGCAGGTGGTTGCTCTATGCCGCAACACTGGTCCCCTGAAAATTAGATGGTTCTCCAGTAAGTGATAGCTGGAGTTTGACCCCACCCTGTTCTGTTTGGTTATTTAGAAAAGCAGTACCTATGATCCTAGGTATAATTATGTGATATGCCAACAACAACTGAGATTTCCTTTATGAAAAAAGTATTTTTAGTTAATACAATGAAAAATAATAGTTTTGGACCTATTTGGATTTAAGGGTCTTTTTGGAGTTCC